AGATAGTCTCCGTTCAGTTTTTTTCCCTGACACATTCGTATTACTTTTGCCGGTGCGCTGTGGCAAGCTTTATGCGTGTGCTTGAGTGCTTGATCTATATTTTAAAGGCTCAATATTATGGTTTGGTATTTCTTTGTATTACAGTATAGAACAATGTTACATATCATGTTCTTTCTCAATCCTGAAACTCAAACCATTTTCCGATGCCACCCTTCAGTATATATTTAACCCTCTGGGGTCCAAGGTGTTTTTGGGGTCCTTGAGATGTTTTGACATACTCTGACATTTGTGCTTTTTTCAGTTGCTTATAAACATATTACTGGCAAAGGTGTAATTACACTCTATTTAGCACACACAGGGCTACCATAATGTGTTATCAACATGTATGTACATTTTTGTATTTTTGAGAGAATATTGTTTATGCGTGGTTATTGAAAAAACTAAAACTTAAAGTTTCTGAAATAAGGCCACAAAACACATACTAAATATGTGTCCACAAGACTTTTGACTAATGGATGTTGTGGCCTAGAGTTTTTTCTTCAAAATGATCTGAAAATCATCCTGTCTTATCATTCACATAACACAATAGATTGTTTTAAATTGTGAAAAACATTTTTTTGTTTGCAAAGGCAATATGCGGATGGGCGGATCGGCCCAACCCCCTCATGAATAATTAGGCAGTTCTCACCTGAGCAGTCTGCATACTAATGAGCCTTTCATTCAGGGGTGTCACACAAGAAAGAATGCAAGGACAATATATATATAAATAAATAAATATTTATATACACACACACACACATATATATATATATATATATATATATATATATATATATATATGTGTGTGTGTATAAATATTTATTTATTTATATATATATATTGTCCTTGCATTCTTTCTTGTGTGACACCCCTGAATGAAAGGCTCATTAGTATATATATATATATATATATATATATATATATATATACAAACAATCAAAATATAAATGAAAGCCAAAAGCACATTTTTAGTCACACCTTTTAGCCATCCACATACCATTTTTAGCCATCCACCGCGGAAAAAATAAACCAGTCGCATTTCAAAGTCGTACGCGAAATGACCGCCAGGTGGCGCAAAGGGATATTTAGCAAAACGTAAGTGGGGCTAATGTCTATTAACAGTAGCCTAAGGATGAAATACTACAAGTTATGGTAATTTCCAAATAAGCCTACAACAAATTGTTGGTCATACAGATAAGATATAATCTTTTAAAACTGTAAAAGGCTAAAGTAGGCCTACACTCACAGGCTAAAGACAAAACGTTTTCTCGCTCATGTGAGAATCAAACGTTTGGTTATTTCTCAGTAACAAAATTCATAGCCGAGCGGTAGAACTGACGGTTCATCATCAAGATGACACAGGTTTAAATCCCGCACAAACATAGTCTGCTGTATATTTTATATTTATTATTGCAGAGAGATTTGTCTAGCTCTAAAACTCTGTTACACCATACAGTTTTGTTTTATATAGGCTATATATATTTTTTATTTATTTATTCCAGGCTCTCACGCCACACCCCCGATTTCTCACGCTGAAGTGTCAACCCGGTCGGTCAAATTCCTGAAAGATATAGTTTATCTATAGATCTACCTGTTGAGCCACTCGTGATCGACTAGTTATACCGCGAATTAGTTATTAATTATTTTAATCCCCACACCCCTCCCTCCACAGCTAATCAATGCTATAGGCTACTTCACCAATATCAAATATAAAATAGAGATATGCAACAGGCACGTTTAAACGAAAAACAATAAAATCAAAACCAGCGTTTCAGTTGTTCATTAGTTCCAGTGGCCTTAATGCATGCACGGCTTTTCAAAATTTCACAAAGCGTGTTGAGATTATTTTGAATGAAATATTGAAGTTTATAATTAAGTGTTTTGGCACACCACGCCGAGTGACCCTATGCATTTTTCTAAAGTCGGGTTTTATTCTGGCATCGTGAGTTAGTGTTCGACAAACGCGGCGGAGCGTTCATTTAGATTAATTTATTTATCTCATTATTACAGCTAAAATAACTTAATAGGCGACTCCGTAATTTTTTGGTCATACAGATAAGAGTAGAGTAGCTTACATCGTTCAAAACTGTAAACTTGTATTCATATTAGGCTAACGACAAAAACAGTATATCTGTCCTCTGTCTCCGGGAACTGCGCATCACAAAAATGAACCGAAAGCCACTTCAGCTCAGTCACGATAAGAAATCGGCTATGTCTAAAGCCTTTAAATGTCTAAATATTTAGGCTAATAAATGTTATCTGATTATGTAGGCTAATCCATATGAAAACGAGAGGTACAGAGGATCTAGGCTACTCAAACATGCGCTTCCCAATGAGAAAATGACAAGACATGGGTGAAAATCTCGCTCTAATTAAATGTAGGCTAAATCGCCCTGAATTAAAATGTAAAAACATAATAATGTATTTGTCGAAATGTTGCGATATTGTTTCATTTAAGTTCATAATTATTCTATAAATGTTATTTAATTTAGCAGCATTACCACGAAGCACCGTGTTTCGATATTTATTTGAATAATACAAAATAAAATAAAAACTTAATTCACAAATTGCATGCCTGGTTGTAAGGATCCAAAGATCCCTGTAGACTTTAATATTACGTTGAACATTTTGTTCATGACAACAAATTAACAAGCGTTTTTTCAGATTATATTTAGTTTTGCTTGGAAAAAGCTGCCCCAAACCAGTTTTATTTCATCAATTATTGAAATAATGAAATATTTAGTAATAAACTTTTATGACAGAAATATCACTAGGCTACATGTAACTTAAATCATTTAATTCCTTCATTATCAACACTGTCTAGAATGGCGATTTAAGTGTGAATTGCGACTTCTCTTTGTGTAAAGTCAGCCTCAGACTCCGATAGCCTGTGGGGGGTTGGAGGGACATTGCTGGACAAAGGTGTTAATGTTCCTCTTTCATATGGAGAGTGTCGGATAGCCAGCCTGATGAGCAGGCAAAATTATTGTAAGGATAAATCTGTGTCCAAATGTAGGCCCCATATCTTATTAAATTATAAATATTGTAGTTTATTTATTGTAGCCTATTTAAAGTTTTTTTCACACAAAATTTCAATTGAAGTTATTGTAAGGTGAATTCAACAAGGCATGCTGTGCCTTTGAAGCAACAATTAAAGGTTAAATAAATTTTTCGTGATTTGTATGGCTGACACGCAGCGACATATACAGTATTATCAGCTGTATGATGTGTTTTTACCCTGAAATGATTAATTTCGAGACAGACCCGGCGCGGGCAGCGAGGGAGACTAAATAAACTTGTTAAAAAGAGATCCAGCGCGAGAGAGGCAAAGAGAAACGCATGTTTTTAATTTAATTATGTTTCTTTGGACAATTTTCGTTTTGTAGGCCTACTGTTTTAATTGTTTAATTTAGCTGTATTTTCTTTGGCAATACAAATTTAAAATGTCGCAAGAATAAGATTAGCCTAGTGTTTCTTATTTTGCATCGCAAAAGAAATAAACTCTAAACAAGATGCAACCCTGTTTTAAATTAAACAATTTAAACCTTGAAATGTTCGAACTTGGTTTCAAACTTAAGTAATTTTAGTGTTCTTTTACATTACACAATAATTTAGCAGACTAAAGACGAGCTTCTTCATTTTCATTTTCTGATCGGCTGACAATCTTCATCAGTTTTTGTCGTTTGTGCAGCGGCTGCGGTTCTACAGGAATGTAGCAAATTTATGTTGTAATGATAATCAAACAAAACTCTTGACTTTAAATAAGTAAACAGATATAAATAGTTACCTATTTAAGCATCAAGGTGGGAAAATATAAACGTAGGACAACATCGGTTAACAACATGTATGCTACATTGAGATTCGATCTCGGGTCTATTGAAGCTCCTCGAAGCTCGTGTCGTTGCGTTGATCACTGAGCTGTCTTCTGTACGCTGTTAATGTTGTAAAGCCTCATTCATGTAGCCTAAATGATTTTATTGCAATGTTTTATGTTGAAATGTTTTCATTATTTATTCAATTACATTTCAGTAGCCTAATTTCAGTATTGTGATTATGAATTATTTTAACTACGTTTCACTTGTTGAATTCTTCGGTGCGGCAGCAGATTACACATTAGAGAGAATAAACCGGAATAAACGAACACTTTTCAGAGTCTATGATTGTAGCGCCTCTTAGCGGTAAAAGGCAGCAAATACACCACACATTTTACCGCCGCGGTGGAACGGCTGATGTGGGCATTGTCATGGCTTGCCTCACATTTGCGTTTGAATAGCGCGCGTCCTCCGTGGGCGTGTCAGGTTAACGCGTAATGAAGTGTAATGAGCTGGGGGAAAAAATACTGACAGCACTCTCTTTTCATACAGATTGCATAAACTGAGAATATTTGTTTTTTATATAAATTACTTCATTTAAAAGAAGAGAATTTAAGCTTCATAAAGAAAAACCTCTCGTGCCTGTGTGACAAGTAATCGCGGAGTTACAGTTAATCTTAGGACGCGTTTCAGAATGGACTTCACTGACAGAGAGAACGCAGAACTCGCATCATGTTTGTTTTTCTTTATTTGGTGAAAAGCACAACACTTTGTTTTTATTGTGAGTATCCACAAAAAAAATAGAAACTTAACAGGATCTAATGATGTACAACACTTATATGTAAGATCAAAATTAACAGAGTAATTTGAGTCTCTTTTGCACTGATAAGGAAAAAAGTGAGCTGGTATCGCCGGCGAGACCGCCGACCCCAGAGAGTTAAGTAATTAAATTAATATCATAAGCGTGCGATTTAGTCGAATTCTGGCTTACAAAAAACGACTACCAGTCGACTCGAAAAAGTCAGGGACAGCACTGTCCTCAATTCTAGCCAATATTGGGACAAAGAACCAACACATGAATTTATCCATTTGTCTATCTTCGCTATTTAAACGCATCCCCTTCTCTATTTATTTTTCATTTGTTCACAGCATCAACCTTCCTGAAGCAGGCTCTGGAAGGAGAGTATCCCAAACTCTTGAGACTTTATAATGAGCTGTGGAAGCGTCTGCAGCAGTACAGCGCAAGCATACAGGGGGCGCTAGCGAGCAGTGGTGCGGGTCTAGATGTGGAACTGCCAGCATCAGAGCATGATACTGACGATATGTTCACCCGGACCAAACCAGACTATGAGTGAGTACTACCATGATACATGTACACTAACTCTCTAACACATTTGTTTTCATAATTCTTCTGTAATTACTTAACCATTTGATCAAGTTTAGTCCCATACATTCCATGATACATAGTAGTTTCTGCCAAAATGCAGTAGCTGCTACAATGTTTTTTATGACAGTGGTGGCTAACATGAAGTTACTAGAGTTTTATTGTTGTAACAACAGTAATGAATATGGTATTTTTGTAGAAACTATTATTTCCATGAAACATTTTTTTCAAGGGGAATCCATAGTAATGCTTTGTTTTAGTACAAAATTGCAGCTATCAATCGCTGAAATGAAACCTACTGACTGATTTAACATTTTGGGATGTTAAATGCAAGCAGTCAAACAGAAATGCCACAATTTCTCATCATAAAAACGAGAAGTTCATTATCTACACAAGCTATCATCTTCCTAATCATCCCTGGTGGCGCAACAAAGATTCTGCCTACCCGCAAAGTGCTCTCAAAACTGCTCTCATTAATCACACAGCGTTTCTGCCTTTCACCTGGATAGAGAGATGCAATAGAAAGCAAAGAAGCTCTTCTACTCTCAGGCACATTGTCAAATAATCTCCGAATGCATCAACGTTTCTGCCACTGCTCTGATCAAACACCCAGATCCCATAATCACGATTGTCCCCTAAACGGCAAACGTTTTACGCACAGTTGATCCTATCGCATAATACAGCTCAAAAAATCTTGTCAAGATGCATGACATAGCTGATAACCAGCAATTAAAGCCAAGGTTATTACAGCATCTTGTCAAAAACTAGTAAATGTCAGGGTTATGTGGGGGGTAAACGGTTCTCTTTGTATTTTATTTACCACAAATTCAGTAGATCTATATTTGGCTCACATAAAATACCTTCTTTGTGGTAGAGTTCTGTGCACTGCTGAAAGTTCAACATTGAAACGAAATTGATGCTATTGTTATGGAGAAATCTATCATGTGTTCATTTGGTGAGCTCTTTTTGTCCTGTCTTTAACAGTCAAGTTCATTTGGTTTTTAGTTTCTGACATTAATGATGCTGATTCTCTCAGGTTTCTACAAACGCTTAAATTTTTTGCTTTTAAGCATTTTGATGAAAAAAAGGAAGCGTGCATAATTTAGGATAACGAATGACTTTTTACCCTCTATTTCACATTATTTGTCCAGTTCTTTTGTAATTATTATTTTAATGGTGATTCTTATTACTGTAATATAGTATATTTTACTGTAATGCAGTAAAAAAAAAACTGAAATGTTTTTTATTTGAATCAGAATAAATGTCAGAAAACTAATACTATCAGGATGTATACAGTAACAAATAAATCATTACTTTTTTATTTTATAGTGATGAGAATTAGATTTGCATTATGATATTGAAAATATGCCTAATCTTCAGACCTTACAATATAATGAAAGGTCTGGAACTTTTAATGAAAATGGTAGCCATTGGGGAAACAGTATTACTTCAGTCATATCTCAGTTATGGTTTTTATCAACAATTGGTCAAACAAAAGAATGATTATTTGAAATTAAGAAGCTGTCAGCCAGGAGACATAATTTATTACAATGGCGAAATCAAATCCTTGAGGCTTTGATGCCTACTGAGATGAGGAGTGTAAGTAGGCTACGTTTCATTAAGTGCCATTCGGTACTTTTGATTTAGACTAATTTGTAATTATCTCTACGGGCAGGCCTCTGATTAAATTTACAGATTTAGGTCAGTGAAATTTTATACATACACACAGTGCATGTATCACATCATACATATCATGTGTTTATCAAAATAACACCATGTACTTAGAGTACATAAAGATATAATAGTTTGATAACAGGAACATTGGAGATGACCTCAAGGTACAGCAACTGCCAGAAAACACTTTGTCTTTACACATGTTGGCATTTACTTGTTACATGTACTCTTTGTGAAGCAAATTAATAACTGTTTTGATGGGGTTTTTTTCCAGTCCAGAGAAGGATCTGAAGGATTCTCTTCAGCCGTATGAAGCAGCCTACCTGTCCAAGTCTCTGTCCCGACTCTTTGACCCCATCAACCTTGTTTTCCCTCAAGGGGGCCGAAACCCACCCTCTAATGATGAACTGGACAGCATCATAAAAACAATAGCCAGGTACACCTCCAAAATACACTATAACTCTTTCACTATACTGCCTTCTAAGATGTCTTATTTGGGCCAATTGTTAAAGGGTAAGTTAGCTGATTTTCAACCAACTTTGTATTGTTACAATGTCAGTAGTATATCATCACCTTCCTAAAATAATTGCCCAAGAAATTTTTTCAGGTTTTTCAGAAAACACAAAAAACTGAACCAATACTTGAATGTATGATATTTATTTAGTTCTTCTTGATGCAGCTGCCATCTTGCAAAGCTTGTAAAATTGCCTAAGTCTCATTGTCTTTTAACTTAGGCAAAATAAAACGGTCTAAGTCACACTCTTGACATAGGCCGTTATACTACAGGGGTAGAATTGCATGATCTGTTCAACTGAGGATGTGGGTGATTTTGCCAGAGGTGGCCAGCATTATGAGGAGATGACTTATGCAAAAAAAAAATGTCAAAAATGACTTAGGCTATTATTTTAGGAAGGTGACGATATGTGAATTTCAAATCAAAAACAAAAACAAATCGTTTGTCAGCGAAAGTCCAATATTTAAAAAATTGATAAATCTACAGATCGAGCTTCCGCATTTTTGTATTTCCACCCAAGACAGTCAGATCGACAGAGAAGGGTGCCAAAATCAAGTGCATTATGGGTGTGTTGACGTTTTTTTTGGCAAAAGGGAATGCCATAGCCCTTTTTCTGTTTTCTCTAGTCATGCAGCACTGATTATTTAATTTTTTTAAATTGCATTTCGCCTGCATAGACAGCCAAGTTTTATTAAAAGCCCATCTTGCCAGTGGTGAATTACCTCTTTTAAGGTATTCTTGATAAGCAACTAACAAGAAGGTACATACATTTAAGGTATGTATTCTTGATAAGGAAGGCAATCCTAATACTAAAAAGCCTTAATTTAATCCATTTAATACTAAAAAGCATTGATATATTAAACAGTCTAATCTATTTACAGATGGACAAATAATGGGCTGGAGAATTTATGGGGATTAGATTAGACTACTGACACTGTTTTTATTGACTGTAATTGGTTGACAGTTGATCCTGTGTGCTGTTTTTGCACGTTAGTGAGCTGAATGTTGCATCAGTGGATTCCGGCCTGACGATCGCAGTGGCCAAGAACGCAGCCAAGACGGTGCAGCTCTTCTGCGTCAAGTCAGAGCAGCTGGTAAGAGACACACGGGGATAATGAGCAAGGTTGAGCGGGAGGCTGTCTGCTCTCATGCCCCTCAACCCTGCCAGGGAGGTGACGTACATGGTTGGCGAATGAGCTCATTATGAAAGCTGGGGAAGGTTGGGGCTCATCTCAACAAGCTTCAGAGAATCAGTGCACCTGCTGTGAGCCGTGACCTGGACAAGAGGCGGGGAGGATCCCAACCTGCCTAGTTAGAGGTGCTAGTTGCTTTGGTCTATAAATCAGGCCAAGGTGAGAACAGAGTGAGATTGCGTCAGAATGCAATGCTACGTCAGTAGTTGCTCAACTAACAAATAAATACCAGTAATTGGATGAAAAATTTGTATGCAACACAATGTTCATGCTATTAGTTTACTAAATGTACTCCTCTATTGTTATTTTGTGGGCATTGAAGTGGCCAGAATGGTTTGAGTCTCCATCTCAATGTAAATGGTGACCAGTTTCCCAATGATCATCCACATTGAGTTACATGAAGATAACAGGCGTAACAAACTTTTCAATGAGATCCTTAATCAATAAATCAGTAGGTTCGAAGTTAGCTGAAAAACTGATCTAGCTTTCTGAGAATTAATCCTTTAAATCCTTAATCAGTCAATTTGTCCTGCTCTCCAAAGATACTGCAGCTGACTTCAGAGATAAGACAAAAAATCATTTAAAGGCAACATGAAATCTTAATTTAACCTGTTTACTTTCTTCAGGGAAAAAAAACAAACATTTCATGGTAATGTAAAACCTTGATATCAACATTGATACAATTATAAAATGGTAATTTCCAAGCCTGAAGAAAAGTCATGGAAATAACTGTAGCAATCATAATTTTCTTGTTGTACTTGTACATTTTTCATAGTTTAAAACAGGGGAAGTCAACCTGCCAGTAATTTTCAGTGATCCTGAACCTTGGTTAGGTGGTTCAGGTGTGTTTGATTTAGGAGGACGGGTTAGGCAGGATGGTAGCTCTCCATGAGCAGATTTGAAATTATTTCATTGCCTATAATGTCTCTATCAGGTAATTAAATTTTTTAATCATGAACACCTGAATTTTTTTTTATGGATATTCACCTGTAACTTTCTGGTCTTTTAAATAACTTTTTTGTGTAATCATGTCTGACCCTACATTATTTCTTGCTGAATATTGTATTTCACTCTGAACCAAGGGGGTAATCCATCGACCGGAAGTTGAAGCCGGCCGGGTGCCGCCATCTTGTAGCAGAACTTCACTTGCGTTAGCATTTCCTTTGACTCCCATTCATTTTGGCGTCACTTTAACAGCGAATAACTTTACATCTGAGGCGTTTAAAGACTCCATTTGTCCATTATTTATTTCTAAAGAAACACGACAATGTATAAAGGGCTCCATTACCTTCTATGTTACATTATGGCCCCGTAGAAACAGTTGTTGTAAAAATAGGCTAACGATTGCGTCATAAGCACTCGACTCTCTGTCGCGTTGTACAGAAATTACCGTACAGACAGGAGGAGTAGCTCGCAGGCAATCGGGGGGACGTCCCGTCAAGGGAGAAGCCCATAGATAATGAGTCCATAAAAGCAACAGAATACTTACTCCTGCTCACTCACGCCAAATACCTCTGCTCAAGTTCCCCGTCTCTGCAAGATTAACGTTGGCAATTTTCACGCACAGCTACTAGAAGATTAACGTCTGTCAGACAGGTTGCTCACGTCATCAAGCTTAGTTTGAGTCGGTTTGAGTCTGCGCGTCAGGAACGGAAGTGCTCAAAAATCGCTAAAAATGGGCTTCAACTGTCTCAACTGAGTTCCAATGAGATGGCTCTGTCCACTTCTTATACTGTCTATGCTCTGAACATTATGAAAGTTCAGTGTGTTTTGATTACTGATTCATGTTGTACAGACTTCGTTTGTATGTTTGATTTCTTTCATTTTCCTCTCAGCTGTTTAAACTGTTCTCAGCTTTAGGCCGTGTGTCCACCAAAGCTTTTTCCACGCGCCTGGCGTATGTTTTCAATTGTTTTCAATGGGAGCGCCGCATTTTTAGACCGCCATGAGCGTAACGAGGCGTTGAGCGTTTTATTCACGCTGAAGCGCTGAGAGCTCGGCGTTTTTACAGTTCGCCGAGAGTTGAAGAATGTTCAACTTTGGATAAAACGCAGCGCTCATCACTGTCACTTTTACCCAGCCGTCCAATCACAGTGGAGGAGGGGCGGGACTAATACCACACCGACCAACTGTCACAACATTCTTTCTGTACAGCGAAATCGACCAGCAGGCAGAGCTAACCGAACAACATGGATGAAAAATAAATGTTTAGTATGAAACAAATTATCTGCGAAATCAGTTACAAGTAAACTGTGCTGTGGATATTCTGTATCATAGCAACGAAATGTCTCAACGGAAAAAAAGCTGTGCTGCCAAAACGCTCTCAAGCGCCCACAGCTAGGCGTTTTCAGCAGAGCGTCTAGCGTTTTCAGCTGGCTAAAAGCGCTTTGGTGGACATACGGCCTTAGAGAAAAGACTGGACTTGCTCATGTAGGTCTATCTCCATTCACTGTGAGCTGGAGGTGTGATTGATTGTGCCTGGCCAGGGAGGGTGTGATTGGATTAGTCTGGTGTCTGTCCTCGAATCACTGGCCAACTGACTCAATCTGTCTTATGTAAGCAAGCAGATGAATAACGAGAATTTGGTTCTGTTCTTTCCTTCAGTAGATGTGTGAGATGAGCCATCAGAACCCTGTGAACTCAATTCAGGGGCAGTTCAGAGCCAAACCTTGACCTCTCCTTGGACTGTCTTCAGGAAATGATATCATAGTAGCATATTGCATAAATCTCTTAAGCAGGCCTCACAATCTTGGGAACAAGAAGATCTCCAAGACACAGATGGTTTCTTTTTTATCAAACCCAGCTTAACACAGGCAGCAAACAGACTCCATCGGCTAATGGATGGATATTAATGAAGACAAAGGGAAGGACTGTATCTCTATTGACCTCTCATATCCTTCATCCTTCCTGCTGTGTTAATGGAACGGGACTTAAACCATCTCTGATACACAGATTTACGCAGAGTGCACTTGCAGAGAGAATGATTTCTGAAACGTGGCTAAAACTGCTGCCCAATCTGCCGTATGGATGGCTTTGAGAGTGCTTCTTTCATCACAGAAGCTGAAGCCAGTGTCCTGATGATGCACATTGTCATTGTCCAATCAGATGATGCAATTAATGCCAGCTTTCTTCAGTAGCTATGCTGAGAAGTACTGTAGAGTTAAACTATCGAAGAGTGTTTGTAACTTAACTAAAAAATATATATTTTTAGCTCAAATGTACTTAGTGTAGCCTACTATTGTTTCAAAAACGGATCTTGGATGTAGTTCGACTACTTTAGGTTATCTTAAAATGGCTTGTAACTTGGCAAGCTACAGTTTGAAAGAAGTTTCCTGTAATCTGGTTTAGCTATAGGGGAAATATTTGACAACAGGGCTCTTCTCTGAGGATTACAGAGGTATGATGTTTTTGGTCTTCGGGCAGTTAATCTCAGAATGGTTCGTTTATTGGACTGCAGATATGCACCGGGGGCTATGATTTATTTAACATCAGGTGTGAAGGAGCAACCCACCAAGAATCATAACTAGTGTGTTACTGCATCTCCTCACCTGCCACGGGAAACATTAATTAACTGTTGCCTTTCCATTTTTAGACCGTTGCCATGGTACCCACGCTGCCACCATCCTATGTGGCTTTTCCTCACAGACGATGTGTGATATTTCTTTTTCTCCCCAATTTTATTTCCCCAACCCCCAACCTTTGATGAGAGGAGGCTATACTGCTTTTTTACAATTTCGACTTTGAGTTGTTTTGTCTGTAGTGGCTGTTTGTTTATATCAGGAGACAGCAGTGCAGCACGAATATGTGTTTGTGTGCGGTGGTCCACTCGTGACTAAGACAACCCTCTGCTTGTTAGTTCCTGTGGTGTGGCACTAAGCATGGCAAATCCTTCCTCTTTTTCCCCTCCCTGTTGCTCGCCCTCCTACCCACAATGCCACCTGCTTTTGCCGTCTGAGCTCCATGGTGACGCCCGTGTCTCAGCATGCTGACCGCTGTGCCACCACTGAGCAAAGCGCTTCTGACCTCAGACGAACACTGGGATATCTGGGGAAATTAGTGGTAGCCTGCAGTCACCTCGCTTTTGAAGTTGACTCTTTGATTATTTACTCAAGTCTTTGGTTGTGACACTTAATATTGTTTAATCCCTCTATTTTCTCCCTTTCTTCTTATCACTTCCTTCTGTCTTTCTCTTAGCTGTGTACGCAGGGGGACGCCAGTCAGGTGATCGGACCCCTGACCGAAGGCCAGAGGAGAAACATTAACGTGGTGAACTCTCTTTTCCGCCTGCAGCAAGCTGTGGCTAAAGTAAGAATGCCGTCTCTTATTCAAGACACTATAGTTATTATAGGTTTAGTTCACTCTGCAATGCAGGTTTTTTTTTTTCCATTTATTTACCCTTGTGTTGTTCCAAACCCATATGACTTTCTTTCTTTCTTACATTAAACAATCTGTAGATGAACAAGACTGTCTTCTGTACTATCTGACATGCAATCAAAGGGAATGGGGTAGGATCCTCAAGCTGCAAAAATCAGTAGAAGTACCATACTACAAAAAAAATTACTACAAAAGTATTCAGATTTGTGTGCTAAAAAAAAAGTAAAACACATTTGAATATACACGGCTTCAATAACATGACAGGCGTGGTAAATAGGAAAATCAAAAATGTCCTCACACAAAGCTGATATAGCTTTCATAACACTTGAAATATAGTCTATAAGACCTAAGAACTATTTATGTGGTACCTATTCGATTTCATTGTATTGTAAAAAAAGCTCTCTGGACATTCTCCACAACATCTCTTTTTGTGCTTTTAGTTCTAATGGCATGTGGTGATTTAATCGATGTTTTGCCATTATGTGCTTCCCAAAGCTGTGTTTTATGAACAGATACTCATAAGAACTCAATCAGCAAAATGCATAAAATCACTACTAGAAAACTTTAGTGGGTATTCAAATATTAAGACTGTTTGAAGTTATTATAGAGTCCTGCAGTATTATAAAACTCCTCTATGTGCAGGACACCTGTCTATAAAGAACATATGGCTGCAGTGCCTTTACTCAGTCTTTCCTCAGGAGAGAGTCTTGGAGAAACTGCAGACTCATCACTAGTCATATCTGTACAATATGAGTGGTGATATTTCACAAGTGGCTTTTTAAGCACCAGATGATGTAGTTCCCTCATTAAAAAAACATGACAGCAGAAGCTTTTTCCTTGCCTGTGATTAATAAGGTAATAAAAAGAGATAACTCTATGATTAAATATTTAAACTGGAGGTGATCAAAGTTTTACTTGTGAAAAGTGAGGCCGCTTGTTTCAGTGGGATTATTTTTTTTAGGGCCTGAACTGTGAGGAAGGACAGGAATTATGGTTTAATGGCTCTAAACGTTGGATGATTTCTGACTTTGAGTTGTTTTCAGGTTATATCTGGACTGGGCACCTTTCCTCCAGCAGCAGAGCAATCGCTCACAGCATCTTTACAGGTAAAGCAAAAACTGCAAGATCCCATTTACACCTAGTATTAACATCACAATGATCATGAAGCATATTCATAGTTAAAGCTGCAGTCCGTAGCTTTTTTTGGGTTAAAAATTATCCAAAATACATATTTGAGAAAATACACAACCAGCCAGTGTTCAAAACTCTCTGCTTGCCTTAGCTCGATTCAAAGCGGTAAGCTTGTAATAATGTTTTTAATTCCAGTGGTACTGGTGGATTTCCGCGGGAGATTCGAGCATGTCTTTGCGTCATTACGTCACATCTGTACACACACATCTGTACACACACATCTGTACATATAAAGGAGGAGTCTCGGCTAGTAGGCTATATTGAGTAATTACGTCACATCTGTACACATAAAGGAGGAGTCTCGGCTAGTAGGCTATATTGAGTAATTACGTCACATCTGTACACATAAAGAAGAGTCTCGGCTAGTAGGCTATAATGAGTGTGAGGATGTTGTGGGTGGAGATTTATAGCCTTTTCTCACAGCACTTGATATAATTAAACTTATCAATTTGATGGCGGATCCAGAAAGGTTCAAACGACAATCACCAGTGACAACAGATTCACCCGCTGTAAAATGTAAAAAACTTCGTTCGGACTTCGGAGTGGCTACAGAAAAAAAGAGACTGCAACCGGCCCATGCGAAAACAAGGATAATATCGGAAGGACATTACATGTAGTCACGCAATGCTTGCTGACGTTGTTAACATTAACAATTTGAGAACAAAGTATCATTTGCACGGTTTTGCGTGATATGATAACTTATAAGCGATTGTTAGATTTAATCAGCGCGATTTACTGCAATGTCAGAACCAGAACAATAGTGGATGTTTCTTACTAGTTCAGATGACATTTTCTGGTGAAAATTATTATGTTGGTCATACTTCCAAAAAGAATAATCTGTGATTCTGAATGCCAGTATCCACACCGGCGCGGTGACTGACAGCCTCACAGTCTCCTCAAACACTGTGTTCATCCGCGCTGTGCCGTGTCGAGGGTGTTGAAGTACAACTCATGTAAAGTTGACAACTCCGCGAATGACTGCAATTGCATATTTCGAACAGGGATGGCGACAAAGAGGAAAAACACCGGACTGCAGCTTTAATATAGCTTCCAGATTAAATTACAATGCATTCTGCTCGAAACATCACATTTGTGGTTACATTCAAATTCAAGGATATGTGCTTTTTTGCTGTATGAACATGCTGCGATAAGCTGACAGTAAATGATATATAGTCACCAAATAAAAGACGAAATACAATCAAGACCAGTCACTGGAGATGCATGTTAATAATAGGGTGTAAACGACGGCTAACTGCATTTGGTCACATCAATATCTTTTTATACATGTGTTTTATTTAGACATCAGCTCACGGCAGGTTGTAACGGATCAACTGAAGTTCGGATACAAGTGCACTTTATTGCAAAATCTAAAAGTGTATAAAAACAAAACGATGACTTGAAAATAAATGTAACATGAACTTGACTAGGCTTGGTATGGCGTGGCATGGACATGAAACTCACAACAGCGGGTTACAGCGTAACATGACAAAGCTAGACCCAGAAACATGGTAACATTAGGGCTATGAACGCAATGACACAATGGACTAATGAGAACTTGACACAATAGAAAAACAAAAGCACAAGGCATGATCACATGGGGAACATAGGAATCACATGACATAAGCAAAAACCATTAAAACAAGAACCCAACCATACACAGGTAATGCCCTCTATATTCATAACATTAATTTTACATTGCTTTTCAGCAACAAGTGCACTGCACTATTTATGCAGACAGTGGTGCGATACACCATTAAGCTTTGAGTATTTGTTTGTGCATCTGTGATAGAAAGAGATTAAGAGGCGAGCGCATGGGACAGTGAACAAAGGGTCAGAATTTTGATAGAAATGCTGCAGCCGCACACAAACACACACAGAGGCTGAAGGTGATTTTAGAAAGTAATTGGGTAAACATTGAGCTGCTCTGAATTCATCGGTCTCTCCCCTGAGGTAAATTGGCTATCAGATGAGTAAACTGGTCATTCTCTTCCCCTTTATCTCTTTTAACAAAACCTGCCAGCTGTATGGGATCGCATTCACTCTGTAACCCATGGTCTTTTAGTGTAAACAGAACAGTACAAGGTGAAAACACACTATCACACTTTACCACCCGCTGTCCTTTGAGTTGGGCACCTACTCTCCTCCTATGTAGGGTATGTGATCTAAAAAAAACCTGTCCCAAATGGCTCACATGATGTGAACATACGGTCTTGTGGCCTTAATTTGCACATGACCCATGAAGTCATTGTTATCAGAAGATCTTCCACTTACCCTATTGGAAAGAGTACAGTACTATGTGTCAAAGACTTGTCAAATCAAATCACCTTTATTTATATAGCGCTTTTTCGTTTCAAAGCAGCTTTACAGTGAAAACAGAAAAATAATGCAACAAAGGTTTTTTTCAGCTGTATAGCAGATCTAGAAAAAAATAGCATCTTAGTCCAGCTTAAGTAAGTTCAGTGATGGTTCATTTAAAAGTTATTAATTTAGTTAATTTATCTATACAGCCGCTCTGGAGAAAACAGTGATGTCATCGTCCAGCTCAGTTAATTACTCATATAATGGTGTCAATGCAGGCAGATCAATAATATTGTTGAATATTAAATGTCCCAACTAAGCAAGCCAAAGGCGACAGTGGCAAGGAACCAAAACTTCATCAGTGACAGAATGAAGAAAAAACCTTGGGAGAAACCAGACTCAGTCGCTCAGTTCTCCTCTGGCCAACGAACAATTACAGGTCAGAAGTCAGATTGGATCAGAACATTCAGCTCCATCTGAAATATTCTGTTGTCACATTCGATATAAACTTGTCCCAAATGAACTTGGACTGACTTGCATCACCAAAGTGTAGAACTGAAAGGCATGAGGGTGCCATTTAAGACAGGACAACATCCTTCACATTTCTACTCCTCCCAGTTCCTCATCACATCCTATTCTGAACCAGAACACAACAAACACAACATAATGAAACGAGGCACCAATATCTCCCAACCTCCAGCTGTGCGGAGAATGATGGGAAAGCTAAATCTGCTGAGTATGTGACCACCAACTTTGTTGTGAAGGGGTTTAGGAGGAAGAGATGTGCACAGGAGATTTGCTCTTTATCTCCTGCTTGCAGGGAATTTTTCCGATGACCGGTCCTATTTGGTCAGAGAGACCTATTGGGTTTGCATTGATGTCGCTCAGAGATGGAGAGTCAGATAAGAGTATAGGACGAGCTGCCATGACACACGCGATGGTCAGACTGATGTCCCATCAGCAAATGTCAGGCAATCACATGGGAGGAGGGAGAGCAGGTGTTAGAAGGAAATGCTACACAAACCGATGACCTTCAAAAGAAGAAACTCTTTCATACGTTTAATAACAATAATTCTCTCTCTTGTTGTTAAATTCACATTCTTTTTTGTGTCTTTTGCAGTCGGTTCAGGCTCTGATGAGTAGTGCCGTTCAGCCCCTGCTGAATTCTGTTACTGACTCCGTCGAAGCAATACTCATTACTATGCACCAGGAGGATTTCTCTGGGTAAGCAAGCAACAAACACACTGTTATTGCATTGTGCATTCAGCACAGTATATACTGCATAAATTGCATGCATTCCAAAAACATACATGTGAAACTACTCAAAGATAAACAGTTGTAGCCTACACTGTCCAGTTATCATCTTGGAATTAAATATAGTTATTTTTCATTTTAATTTAATGTTGTTTTGACATTTGACAGTTAAATCAAACAACGAGTCAAGGAGGATGATAATGATATGACTCCCAGTTCATTTATCACAGGGTTCCCAAACTTTTAAGTTAGCATTTCAAAAATGTAGTCACATTTGCATGTTCAGTTCTCTGATGTTGATAAGATTATTATAAGTAGTAGTATGTTTTAACTCTATAAAAATAAAGACTGAAATATATTACTGTTGTAAATTACAACTGTACTGTAAAATAAATATTTGATAGTTAAAATGAAATGTTGCATGCTTCACTCTGAAACACCCATTATCGTGCAGCCCTATTTATTTATTTGAATTTACACTTAATATAATTATTAGTGTTTCATCAACTCACAAACTCCCTGCAGTTCCCTCACAAACTGATCAACAAGTTGTCCAGAAAAGCAGTAAAGTAGTCCGAGTAGTTTAACCTGCAGCTGAAAAGTGAGAAACCTAACACTCCAGTTTTACTCCATTTTCAGATATATATCTGACCATTTCAAAATACCACACAAAACAAATGAGAGATGTCAAACTTGGGATTTATGGTTGCACAAAGATTGTGTTCTCCCCTTGTGGGCTTTTTCTCAAACACTAACATGGCATTTGGGATTGTGTGCCATATTTAATCTTGTTGAGGGCAGTTCTGTGATCAGGTCTCTCTCAGCTCACCATATTTCAACATAAATTGTTTCTTAAAGCAAGAAAGTGTGATGGGTGTGCTGTCATATTTCTTCACCATTTAAAAAATGTATGGGAGTGCTGCCAGCATTTTTAAAATTAGGTATAACAATGCTACAATGACAAGGTGATGCAATTTAGTTTGCTAAATTTGTTTTGCTATAAATTTACTTTTAATTTCACTATTTCCTATGGAAGCTTGTTTCCGCCACTGAATAAAAAAAAAAAAGAATAATAATTGCGACTTTTTATCTCACAATTGTGAGATATGAAGTCAGAATTGTGAGAAATAAAGTCGCAATTGCGAGATATAAAGTCGCAATTCTGAGAAATAAATTCGCAATTGCGAGATGTAAAGTCGCAATTCTGAGAAATAAAGTTGCAATTGCGAGATATAAAGTCGCAATTCTGAGAAATAGTCGCAATTCTGAGATATAAAGTCGCGATTGCGAGATATAAAGTCGCAATTCTGAGAAATAGTCGCAATTCTGAGATATAAAGTCGCAATTGCGAGATATAAAGTCGCAATTCTGAGATATAAAGTCGCAATTCTGAGAAATAAAGTCGCAATTGCGAGAAAAAAAGACAGAATTTTGACTTTTTATCTCACAATTCTGACTTTTTTTGCGAGTTTACATCTCGCAATTCTGACTTTATAACACATAATTGCGAGTTTATTTCTCAGAATTGCGACTTTATATCTCGCAGAATTGCGACTTTATAATTCTGACATCTTTTTCTCAGAATTGTGAGATATAAACTCGCAATTGCGAGTTATCAGGCCAATTCTAAGGAAAAATAAGACTAACTTTTTTCCTCTCAGAATAGTTTATATCTCACAATTCTGACTTTACAACACGCAATTTCGACTTTATATCATGCATTTCTGACTTTATAACACGCAATTGCGACTTTATAACACGCAATTGCGACTTTATATCAATAAATTCTGACTTTATAACACGCAATTGCGACTTATATCACGCAATTCTGACTTTATATCTCGCAATTCTGAGAAATAAAGTCAGAATTGCGAGATGTAAACTCGCAATTGTGAGAAAAAAAAGTCAGAATTGTGAGATAAAAAGTCGCAATTACCTTTTTTATTTTTCATTCTGTGGCGGAAACAAGCTTCCATAATTTCCTCATGTTCAGTCTTTAGGGTTTACAAATCTCAATTCAGTTATTTTGTGTCAAGGTGAAAGATGGCATGAGAGTGCGAGTGCAACCAGACCGCAGACTTGAAAATCCTCATGATGTGGGGATGTACATGTGTGTTTTTGACTGTTTTAGAAGTCTCACGTTCCCTGAAGACTCTTTCTCTCATTCGTTGGTCTGGGTGGTCCAGGCAATACAACAGAGAGTGAGGTGCCAGCGTTTGATAACATTTAAACCATCACCCCTGTAATTCAGCGCGGCTTCCTTTCGTCCACACCTCTTGTCCCCTAAGGGCAACTGGAGTCAGGCTTGGTGGACTTGTTTTATTTCTGTCCCTGCTGTCGGGCACTCCAGAGGAAAGACGGCAGAGAAATAAACATGCTATAGAGATGGCTTTGTCCAAAAAACACCCTCAGTTTCACCATGTCTGCGGCAATCTTTTTTGTAGATGAGCTAAATGGGTGAATCTCACAAAACCAATGTCCAAGTCATATTTTACTGTAAAATCAAAAGTAAGAAACAAATGTATATTGTGTAAAAATGCAGGGCCGTTTTAGTTCCATTATTTCCAAATATATAAAAAATAATAAAAAGTTAAGTATTTATATATTGTGGCTGTATTTGTTGTACTGCCTTTAATGCATGCTGATTTTAATTAAAACAATCATTCTATTATAGTATTTGTATTCAAATATTAAATAAATGCTCTATTACAGTAGTGAGAATCATCAAAAATAAAAACGGATGAATTACATTTTTTTTTTTTACTTGAAAGACATACAAACACATTTAGGTAAGGAAAATGATTTGTGCTTAATCAAAGCATGAAAATAATGGTTTTAATTGCATCCTGACATATACATTTTTTAAATTGTGATTTTAAGGTAAAAAAAAAAAAAATTAACGTGAGATTCACAAAAAATAGCTTCTTCATGTGTGTAAGGAGGAAAAACATCAGGGAAAACTGATTGTTACTTGCTAAAAGGCATCAACACGACCTTCCTTTTCTGACATTGAGTATCTCAGCAGTTCCAGTAGCGACACATTTATGATATTGATTATGTGACAGAGGAAATCAATGGTGTTGTTTGTAGCTGTGGTCTATGCTCACATTACAGGATTACAGTACACTACTCTTTTGTTTGTGTATGTTTGCGCCCAGTCCTCTACCCGTGGTTGGCCGCCCGGACGTGCCATGCTCTCTGTACATGCGTGAGCTGCAGGGCTTCATCGCTCGCGTGATGAATGACTACTTCCGCCCGCTGCAGTGTCTGGACTTCCTGTACGATAGTACGGAGAACATCGCCCAGCGCGCCATCACCCTTTTCATCCGCCATGCCAGCATCTTGCGTCCGCTCGGAGAGGGCGGGAAGATGAGGCTGGCAGCAGACTTTGCGCAGGTGAGGAAAATGAGGGTCATTTGTCTCTCGTTCACTATCTAGGGATCTTCCAGCAGTATGCGCACAATCGTGAACCACTAGTGTTTCTTCTTGCTGCGTATCTTTTACTCCAACACGTCGCTCGCGAGCTACCAGTAGCTCGTGGCCTGATTGGAGGTAGCTCGTCAAGGGGCCGTTTCACATATCGTGTCTTTTGCGCGCTCAAGTTCGTTATTTCAAATGTAGGCGCGCGGCAAGTGGGCTTATCATTGAAGCGACGCGCTCATTTTTTCCAGGCGGAGCGAGATGAAAACACCTCAACTTTTCAGAATGCTGCAAGCACACTGCAGGTCATGTGACAAGAACCAACCAATCAGCTTCACCTTTTCTTAACAACATTGAAAGCTCAGTCAACGTGAAGGATGGGTATGCAACCCTAACACCCGGGTGTTTTTCTTTTCTCCGTAAATAAATCCTGCAGCAGAGCTACAGCAAGCGTTTATCGGTGGTGGAAATCCATTAGCTACTATATAACTTCTTTGTCGTTGTGGAGAGCGCAGTGCATGGTTGCATAGCAACGAAAGACGCCACGGGAAAATCGGACCGAATTTTACTATAACTAATAAAAGATAAGCTAATGTGCATTGTAAATGTCAGTAATTTATCTTTTTTGACTCATTTTTTTTATAAAATTGATTTAAAGGCTGAAATATGTGAGGTTTATCTTTTTATAAAACCTTTTTTGTCAAAACTTTATTTGAATTTCATTATACTCTATGTGCCTATAGGGGTGGGCCGGGGATGGCAGGGGCTGGTAGCAATGTAAGTAACTTACCGGTATCTGAATATTTGCCGCGGGGCGACGGCTTCGATTACCTCTCTTTTTTGACCATACATGTGTTTGCATCCCTGGGTCTTGACTCGGACTCGGCATCACTACTTAAGACTGCTCCTCTAAACAATTCCCAATCTAGCTTAGTCTGTAGGCCTAATTGTTGATTATTAACTGGGGTGATATTAAATCATGAATATCAAAACTGACATGTCGAGACAAAATCTCGACTCGGACTTGCTTCCTCAAAGACTCGGCCTTGACTCGGACTCGACTGTATTTGAAAACCAAAGGACTCGGTCTCGATTGGGACTCGACCCTTCAAAGACTCGGTCTTGACTCGGACTCGGCATAGGCGGTCTCGTCCCCATCACTATGGCTTCATCATGATAGGATAGGACAGTATATAGAGGCTATTGGCGCTGATCAGTTGGCACCATGTTTAAGTTTGACAGTCAAATTCGTATGCGTCTTTATAGAAAGCATTGACTCCCTCTGCATCTGTGAGTAAACATCCCATGTGTGTGTGTTACAGATGGAGCTGGCCGTGGCTCCTCTCTGCAGACGGGTGTCAGACTTGGGGAAGGCGTACCGTCTCCTGCGATCTTTCAGGTGAGTCTTTATTTACAGTCTGGATGATGTCAGGTGACTTCATCTTCCTGTCCTCGACTGACTGCACTCAGCTCTTGATGTCACATCAAGACATCAAGAGTGATTCTTTTGTGTGTATTTCTCACACAAACGCTCTCAATTAGTCTTATCCTTCGTTCTCCTCCTCCCCCCGCTGAGACGAAGCGGTCGCCTGGAGTCTTCCCTCTGAAAATTGCTGTTAATTAACAGTGAGAGAGAGAGAGAAAGGAAGGTTATTAATGGAGATGCTTGTCTGATTAGCTGAGGAGAAGTCAGAGTCTGGATATACTCGAATGCTCACCTTACATTGCTCCTTTGTTGTTTTAAAACAGCTCCATGTTCTTGGTCTTGATTTATTATTGCACGTTATTCCAAATAAAATAAAAAAGTTTTCATCAGGATATAATAACTTGCTCTGCCATTTAATCGTCTTTCTGTTTCAGACTCTTTGCAAAGCTGCATTGTGTGTAAATGTGTCAGTAGGCGCGTTTCCATTACAGATTTGCGCAAAACTTTTGCATTTTTTTTCTAAATATCGCAAAAAAATGCTTACTTGCGCTTCATGAGACACACACGCGCATTTGCACACACACGTAAGGTCTCTCGCTCTCTCCCTCTCTGCCGTACGCGCGCTGCACGGTTTGGAGCTCGCAAGCTCTAGATTCCGAGAGATTTGAACTAATTTGCGGGCATCAGGAGCCGCTATCAATATGCGGGAGACTCCTGGAACTTCCGGGAGATTTGGGATATCTGTGAACGCATACCTCTCTGTCCAATCATCTTTGAAAACTCTATTTTCTTCGTCAACTTTTCTTTTCCTGGACAATGACATCCTCCACACCCATTCAAACGCTTACGCCGGGAAGTGTCGCGGTCGCGCCTGATTACGTCAAAAGTCACACGTTCACTGGATGTCATGGCAACTAAATCACGGAGGAAAACTTTAAATTTCTCGCCTTCGTTTTAATTTTGGACCATCGTAAAAAATAAACAAATGATTTTAACATGCGTTTATCAAAATAGGAAATCCAGACTTTTAATCCCTTACAAACAATTAGGGCTCTTGAAATACGAAATTGAGGCGGGTCCAGATTGAATTCCCTCCGGGTCCGGATCCAGACCGGAGTCCGGACTTTGAGAAGTACTGGTGTAGACGCTACTTGGCACATCTTCTTCGCCGTTACGTATGTGTACTCGGCAAGACCGTTTTGTGTTTGAGCGCCCCCAAGTTGTGTTTTACTGTAACTTCAGAAGCTCCAGACACGTGAGCAAAAGCGCCAATCTCATTGGTCAGATAGTTTTTCACGCGGCGCGTCAAACCAAAAAAACTAACCAGAGGCGTTTTAAAAAAAAAATTCGCTTTTACGCGCGGTGTTTTTCGCGTCGGTGTGCACACTCACATTGGCGCCCTTTGTTTAGTCACGAGGCGTTAAACGTCGGCGAATATCGCGCGGAATTCGTCCCGGTGTGAACAGGCCTTTATACTGTGAACGGCACATATGAGGAGTTTCTGTGTTTCTCCCTCATTTCTGCTCCAAGGTCTTGATTGTGGCATTTCTTTGAGGTTTAGAATCCAGTATTCCCTGTAATTCTTTTTTCTTTTATGAATTTAATAAAGAACTCTGTCTCGTATTCTGTCCAAACACACCGCGCACCTCTAAGTCAGGTGACTGCAAATGCGCAAAAACTGTTTCCATTGCAGTTTTGCGAAATATTCCTTTTTCGAATTGCCTGAAAAACCATCTCATGCGAGCGTGTAAACTTTTTTGCGATAAACGGGAGTTTTTGCGAAATTGACGTGTTTCCATTGTGCGTATTTTCAATTCGCAATTTCAATTTGTGCAATTTGAAGGGTAATGGAAACGCGACTAGTTATGCGTTTAATGTTTAGTTTCCCGCAGCATAGTATCAACCAATGCTCTTTTGGACATAGAGGAAGTTGTCAGTTATGAACTGATGTCTCATGTTACGAACACCTTAACTTTCATGTTTACTGGCAGGTTTGATTCAGGCAGCTTGTATTCTCTGTACTTCCTCCAGGCAGTCTAATAAACATTAGTGAGGTCTCACAGGACAGCTAATCAAATTAAACCTCAGCCATCTATGCCAGCTCTGAGAGCGGCTGCCGTGCCTGGATCCCTCATGAGCAAGGACTGATTCCCCACAAGCAACTTTCCTTTACTCAACTTTCCTTTTCCTGTGCGTGTGCAGAAGGATGCAAAAAGATGTCTGACGTCCATTGGGGAAAGATGTTATTACAAGAGTGCCCTAAAGTAGACATGTAATTATTAATATGGAGATATTGGTCTTGTTTGATCACACTGTTGAGGGACCGGAGATGGGAACTGATGAAAATTTCAACCTGGTCTGAGGGTTCCTAGAAATGGTTCAACTTGTAAATAATGTTTTTCATATCCATGAATGTTTTTGATTACAAATAGCCCCTGACTAATACAGTATGAGGACATAGTTGCCCTATAGATATGTTTTAATTTAGAGCTGAGTCACGAAGGTATCTCCTCTGAAGGACCTTTCCTCTGTTGACTTGGGCAGCACATGAAAAATATGTTTTGCTATGTAAACCTCCCAATTACTTTATTTATTTTATTTATTCGGGACAGTGCACATTAATGAACAATCTTAACATTTCTGTACAGACTGTAAATGAGCCAGGTTATAGCATAAATGCTCATTTTCATCTGTAGTCCCGAGGCAGGAGGACAACAACATATAAAATAATGCAACACAATAGAATATGACAATATACAATATCAAGCAAGAAACACATTAGCACACATTCAGGCAGAATACATTGTATCAATAAAATTAGTCAAAATGAGGACATAACTGGGAACTTTTAAGAAGCTGTTTAAGGGCCTGTTCACATATCGCGTCTTTTGCGCGCTCAAATTCGTTATTTCAAATGTAGGTGTGTGGTATGCGCGCTCATAATGGAAGATTTCCAAAATCGTTTTTTCCAAGCGCGTCTGCGCCGCATTGAGATAAAAACATCTCAACTTTCCAGAATGCCGCAAGCGCACAGTAGGTCACGTGACAAGAACCAACCACAGCAACGACAGACGCCTCCGGAGCGCAACCGCCCTAGCGCTTTGGAAAAAGGAGAACGCGGCGCGCCTAGTTTTTTCTATGCATTTTTAGGCGCTATATGTGAATGGCGCCTAAGGTGCTTTTTAAATGTCCAGTAAGTGGGACATTCCCTAATGTTTGTTGGGATGCTGTTCCAAAAATGACCTCCTCTGATAGACAGAACAGTTTGTCCAAAGGTAGTTTTTCTATGCGGGATCTCTATATCTCCTCTGAATGAAGCTCTGGTACAACAACCTCTGTCAGACCTTGGTTTAATGTATGTAGAAAGTGAAGGTGGAGCCAGTCCATGAAAAAACTTTATAAATTAAACAGCTATTTTTAAAATGAATACAATTTTCGAAATTGAGCATATTGTATTTTCCCAAAACATTACACTGATGGTATGACAGGTTTTTGATCAAGTATTTTTATAGATTTTTCATATCCCGTGTGGTACTATTACTATACAACAATACTATTGCCATTGTTGAGGCTTGGGCTGCCACGACACCATAAACATGTCTTACGCTACTACACCAGCTGAAGTATCACGATACCGTGCAGTATTGTTAATTAATAATTAATATCTACAAAATGGACCAAATTTTCATGAAGGTGTGGATGTAAATGAAAACTTTTATACTCGTATAAGTTAATGCTTCCCTTCATAGAGACCAGTGGCATTGATTCAGTTCATTGACCAGCGCTGACGCCAGGGCCGTCGCTAGTGGGGTGAAAGGTGGTGACAATTATAGGGGCCCCCGCTGCCCAGGGGGCCCCACAAAATCCAGCAGTTATACTATTTAGGCCCCTGTTGTATGAATAATTCTAATATTTATATTAGTTGTATGCCTGAGATTTAAATGAAAACCACAAAAACGTGCAATTTGGGTAAATATTTTTCCAAATATCTGCTTCTCTTACCTCCATAAAAATGGTTTAGTCCGACCTAAAGTATTTATTAATTATTCAGTCAGAGTCAGTGACAAACATCAGATGGACCCAATAAAATTGTAAGTCCCGCCCCAGCTCGTGAACAGAACCAATCAGAGTTGAGGCGGCAGCCTGAAGATAACGATGAACTTGGTGGAAGAGCAGGAGACTGACTGACTGAAAAATGTCGGGGAAAAGAAAACATTAATCAGGGAACCAGAAATGCCAGGAAAAGACGGAGAGGGAGGCAAGGAGAGTGGTTGTATCCCAGTCGATCAAGACGTTCTTAAAGACCGGTTATATATTGTTATTTCGCTGGGAATTAGAAAACTTCCGTCTACAGTCTGCCGTGTACAGTCATTTTTTATTATCGGTGCGCGCCACAATCGACCGAATGATTACGTGGTCTAAATTCCTGTCTTTTTACACTTTTGTAAATAGAGTTTTAAAAAAATTACACGAGTCACGACGCATTGCATTATGCATCTGACCTGCCGGCTGATGATATTTAAAACATCGAGAAAACACGAATACAACAGACTGCACTTGGATGAATAAATGTATTCGCTTTATTTAATAATATTACCAGTTCCATATTATCTTTATTAAAAAATAAGACAATAAATGGTTTTATTTTTTGAATTAGACTGCATTCTTGTCAATTTCTAAATGTTTACTTTTTGATTTATGAATTATAACAGACTGATGGGGGGAAAAAATATTACTTTTTAAAAATTGGTTTTATTATTATTTAACAATTTCTTGCTTTTTTGTTAGTTTTTATTAGTTGTAATTTTTATATAAACATTTAACTTTTAAAATAAAGGTTTTACAACAACATCACCATCTTCTGTTATGTGGGCCTCCATGTCCATCTAATGTACAGTATAAGATATTGGTGGTGGGGGCCCACATCAATATTTTTTCAGGGGGCCCCGAATCCTCTAGCTACGGCCCTGGCTGACGCCATTCATGGGAAAAACCCTTAAACATTGACAGGATGCTATGACAGAGATATTGCTTTCCTCATTTTTTTTCACAAATATATCACTTGACCTGAAGAAGGACAGACAGAGGTAATCACACGGGCTCTGTCAATCTCTCTTTCACTTGCTGTCTGTTTAGTACAAATCTCAATTGTACACCGAGTCTTGATTATGTTTTAAAAAAAAGTCAGTTGGCGGAAACTAATTACATTCTTCACTCTTGTTATCATTATTAACATTCAATACATATACTTAATCCTCTTCGTCCCGTGTGAGACATGAGACCGCATTCATTACATATGCATGAAGTATAAAACAAGAAGTGCATAGCCTTATGAAAAAAGAAAAAGAGTTTTCTTGCATTCCTTTGCGGTTGATTTCTCAGTATTGCGGTATTACAATATTGCGGTTATCTCGACAGCTCTAGTCACTTGCACTTTACTTTTATTTCACACGTCATCATTATATCATTTACACACAATTTCAGAAGAAACAATGGTCATATATAGGCAGTGGTGGAATGTAACGAAGTACAAATACTTCGTTACATTACTTAAGTAAATGTTTCACGTATCTGTACTTTACTTAAGTAGAATCAATAGTGCATACTTTTTACTTTTACTTCGTTACATTGTGCAGCAATTATTATACTTTCTACTCCACTACATTTCTACAACGTTCTGTTACATTTCGTTAAATTTTCTGATAAGTTTTTCCCTGCCAAAACGTCTTCCTGACCGTCCGTTCATCGCACGTTTCTGTCTCACCAGTGAAGTTTGGTTGCCATAGATATATCAACCCGGTCACACTAAATGCGTCTCTATAGCACGCAGTGTGTTTATCGTGCAATTTATACGCGGAAATTAGTTTTTACATGCATAGGAAACGCATTGGTAGGTTTAGTAGTGATGTGGGGTGCGTGTGTATAATACGTTTGGTTAGGATTAGTATGGCAAGCCAAGAGGTTCAGAATTACGCCATAAATGAATCGCGTTTACAGCCAAACGCCCTCATATACGGCGTTTTAACATAATATGTGTGTTTATATATATATACACTCACCGGCCACTTTATTAGGTACCCCATGCTAGTAACGGGTTGGACCCCCTTTTGCCTTCAGAACTGCCTCAATTCTTCGTGGCATAGATTCAACAAGGTGCTGGAAGCATTCCTCAGGGAGTTTGGTCCATATTGACATGATGGCATCACACAGTTGCCGCAGATTTGTCGGCTGCACATCCATGATGTGAATCTCCCGTTCCACCACATCCCAAAGATGCTCTATTGGGTTGAGATCTGGTGACTGTGGAGGCCATTTTAGTACAGTGAACTTATTGTCATGTTCAAGAAACCAATTTGAAATGATTAGAGCTTTGTGACATGGTGGAAGTAGCCATCAGAGGATGGGTACATGGTGGCCATAAAGGGATGGACATGGTCAGAAACAATGCTCAGGTAGGCCGTGGCATTTAAACGATGCCCAATTGGCACTAAGGCGCCTAAAGTGTGCCAGGAAAACATCCCCCACACCATTACACCACCACCACCAGCCTGCACAGTGGTAACAAGGCATGATGGTTCCATGTTCTCATTCTGTTTACGCCAAATTCTGAATCTAACATCTGAATGTCTCAACAGAAATCGAGACTCATCAGACCAGGCAACATTTTTCCAGTCTTCAACTGTTCAATTTTGGTGAGCTCTTGCAAATTGTAGCCTCTTTTTCCTATTTGTAGTGGAGATGAGTGGTACCCGGTGGAGTCTTCTGCTGTTGTAGCCCATCCGCCTCAAGGTTGTGCGTGTTGTGGCTTCACAAATGCTTTGCTGCATACCTCGGTTGTAACGAGTGGTTATTTCAGTCACTGTTGCCCTTCTATCAGCTCGAACCAGTCTGGCCATTCTCCTCTGACCTCTGGCATCAACAAGGCATTTCCGCCCACAGAACTGCCGCTCACTGGATGTTTTTTCTTTTTCGGACCATTCTCTGTAAACCCTAGAGATGGTTGTGCGTGAAAATCCCAGTAGATTAGCAGTTTCTGAAATACTCAGACCAGCCCTTCTGGCACCAACAATCATGCCACGTTCAAAGTCACTCAAATCAACTTTCTTCCCCATACTGATGCTCGGTTTGAACTGCAGGAGATTGTCATGTCTACATGCCTAAATGCACTGAGTTGCCGCCATGTGATTGGCTGCTTAGAAATTAAGTGTTAACGAGCAGTTGGACAGGTGTACCTAATAAAGTGGCCGGTGAGTGTATATATATATATATATATATATATATATACCGTATATAGTAAGGGTAGCCCTATATAGTAAGCTTGATGTGTATAATGCCTAATTGCAAGCTTGTTCAGAAATGGTGACAAAAACTTAAAATATAACTGCTTTTCCATCATATTGAACATCATTATATGAGTATTAGGTTGATGAGTTAGAATTAACTGTTTTATTAATCATTAGAATATAGACATTAAGAGAATAAATTGTTATGCAAGTACTTTTACTTTTAATACTTAAAGTACATTTAAAATCAGGTACTTTTTACTTTTTACTTAAGTAGGGTTGTCATTGTGGTACTTCTACTTTTACTAAAGTAAATATGTCTCTGGTTCTTTGTACTTTTACTTAAGTACTGAGATTCAGTACTTCCTCCACCACTGTATATAGGTCGTGTGAAAGGGAACCCCAAAGAAGCTACTAAAAGCTTTTAGGAGGGGGCCCGATAACATTAATGTACAACATATAATATACAAACCAAAACTCTGTATACCATAGACACAAAATAGACAAAATAAAATACACAAAATAAACACTACAACAAACAGACGATCCCAACACAAGTATAACAATTACGAAATGTTCAACAATAATATGTTATAAGCAATCACTGAATCATTCATTCAAAACGGCTGATTTTCAACTATTTTCATTGGCGAAATAGAGCAAAAACATCAATATTGACAATGTTGTGTCTAAATTGTCATTTAATATTAACTTTGTTTTTTTGAACTGTTATATGAAATCAATCAGATTTGCAATCGTGCTGATATTTGGAAAAACAGCATTCTTGCTTGTCATATTGCTAAATAATGTGTGTAATAATTTGCCCCCATATCTTTAAATTCCCTATTCTGATTGGAGGATAGTATGTATATTATAGCATAGAAATGTATTTATAATGTTAAAATTACATTATAAGGATTAAATGATTGATGAATGGAATTGCATTCGTCATCGCAAAGATGGTTCTAAAAAACTATCCATTACACCTGTTCCAGAAGTGGTCAAATTAAAATGAAAATAAAACTCATAATAAAATGAGATTGCTTTACAATCTCATTATATTGTATTCAAGCATTGCACAAGCTGTTGAGAAGAGCTGTGCTTTTATTACCTAATTGATCGGATTTACGCTTTCCAGCTAGTGAACGATAAAACGTATTTTAAAAAAAGCATGTAGTCTTGCATTGTTTTCCATTTGAAAAAAAGTCATTTAAAATAAGACTCATAAAATAATACGTTTCGCTTTACAATCTCATTATATTGTAGCCGAGCACAAAAATGAATCCCAGACTTCACTGAACCTGGGATGTTTTTTTCTGATTCTGAAATATGATTCTCATCTTGTCAGCGGTGAGTAAGATATCTGCTACGATCCCACTGGAGGACATCATTCGAGCTCCACTTTAGCATGTCACAAACATTTGGTGAATTTTATTGGACATTTTTTCATAAGCACCTACCGTCCAAATCTCCAGCATTCATTTCATGCTCTAAATTACACCCGGTTTGAGATTTGCAGTGAATATGAATATATTTGTCTCTCTGTTTCAGGCCACTGTTGTTCCAAACGACTGAGCACATCACTAGCAGTCAAGCGCTGGGAGATTTGATTCCATACAGCACCATATTACATTTTCTGTTCAATCGTGCCCCGGCTGAACTCAAATCACCACATCAGGTACGCACACACACTAATGCCGAGGGATGGAAACCTCTTGGTTATAGATCTTCAAGGATTAAGCTTTGGCGAGTTAGTAAGCAGGAGTTTTTTGAGGTCAAATCCTGTTTATTATGCCCTTGAGCGGGGCAATTCATCTCAAGTTGCCCCATCGCAACTGCCCCTGTGATTGACCTACTGTAAGCAGCTTTAGATAAAAGCTTCTGCTAAATGACACATTTCATATTTGAGTGCTCGGACTGGAAAGGATGAAGATATTTTGGGCCATTTTATAAAATGAGGGTTCTCTAAAATAGCTTTAGCATGGGTGGATTTGTAGAGCTCTTATGTAGCACTAATACAGCTTTCTCTTCTAAACAGAGAGCGGAGTGGTCGATCTCTCGCTATTCTCAGTGGTTGGATGACCACCCATCAGAGAAGGATCGTCTCACCCTTATTCGGTAAGATCCAAGGCTCAAAATTTGCAGCTTCAGTTGGTGGCGCCAATTCCACCGCTTTCACAATAAACCTTCCCAGTGACAATCTCTGGAAGAATACTAACACTCGTTTGATTTAGCTTGGTGTTTAGTTTTCTCATCTTTGACCCTTTATGAAACATTCATATTCAGTAATGTCATTTGTAAAACGAACTAGAAATGTCAGGGTTCTCACAATCACAGAAAACCAGGAAATAGCAGGGAATTTTAATAATCAAAATGTAATGTTTTTATCTATTATTTTATAGGGATTGCAATTAGAAAGAGCAATTTATTTCTAATAAAGTTATGCAATTCATATATCCTACTAAAAATATTTATATTCACTATGAAAATGCCCAAGATTTTTCCATGACTTTTGCATGACTTTTTCCATTTTTTTTAAATTTCCATGAATTTATTTTCAGACCTTTCAGTTTTAACCTAATCCGGTTTAAAATTCCCTAATATTTCTAGACCTATAAAAAATCATGGACATTTCTTAAGTTAATATACATTTTTCTAGTTGTTATGCTCAACTCTAAAATATTTCATTGGCTAGAAATTGCATTTTGTGAGTGCAAAGTGATTTGTAATAATCCCTAATCATAGAAAACTCGTAGAAAAAAACAGGTGTGGAAACTATAAAATTCAGTACTTCAGACAAGGGCCCGGCTGCATAAACATAGCCACTATGTTAAGACTGTCTAGTTTGACTAACTAGCAGTTAGCAAAGTTAAGACTTGTTGATGCATTTCATATAATCCCAACCCTTTTAAACAAATGTACAAATATCCATAAATATTAATATTTGTTTTGTAATTGTAATTAGTCTTGCTTCTCTGATTCAAATCAGACTAATATACCTTTTTATGTAATTGACATTTAAAAAAAGACCAGTTTTGAAGAAAAAATTAGATGACTAACTTGTAAGACAAGTCTGAGCAGTTTATGCAACCGGCCAGAGGAAATGATTTCTCAGTGCAACATCAGCGTCCTCTACTGGCGCTCTGGAGGAAATACAGCAGCTTGGATGTAAACAGCCCAAGTAAGAAATTAAAATGTGTGACTTTCCTTTGTTGCAGGGGGGCGTTGGAGGCGTATGTGCAGTCTGTCCGAGCCAGGCAAGGGAAGGAGTTTGCCCCAGTGTATCCCATCATGCTCCAGCTGCTGCAGAAGGCCACAAGCGCATCATAGGACCTGCAAACAGAGCCCTGTCTCGTCAGGAAAATGTAGACAATTAATCATAACAATACACTCGTCTTCACCAAAAGAAGTCTTTATTATTATCATCATCATTTTGTTTGTTTTGTTCAAATCGGATGTGTAAATTAGTTTGTTTTGCTTACACACACAATGTGTAAAAATGTACAATGTGTGTGTTTTATGGGTTGTTACTGGCTTTAATAAGAATCCCTACCTTTTTAACAAATCTACATGTATTCATAAATAATATTTGTTTTGCTGGGTCCAACAGAGGGAAATAAATGAATTAATAAACACATTATGTAAATGTTGAATAAAGAATGTCTTTAAAGGCGCCTCATTCAGATTGAATCTGTTCGATTTACAGGTGAAACTCGAAAAAATAGAATATCGTGCAAAAGTTCATTTATTTCAGTAATTCAACTTAAAAGGTGAAACTAATATATAGACTCATTACATGCAAAGTGAGATATTTCAAGCCTTTATTTGTTATAATTGTGATGATTATGGCTTACAGCTTATGAAAACCCCAAAATCAAAATTAGAATATTGTGAAAAGGTTTTCACAGCTGTAAGCCATTTTCATCACAATTATAACAATTAAAGGCTTGCAATATCTCACTTAGCATGTAATGAGTCTATATAATGTATTAGTTTCTCCTTTTAAGTTGAATTACTGAAATAAATGAACTTTTGCTTGCACGATATTCACATTTTTCGAGTTTGACCTGTATAACTTCTTCAAACGGAAAAATGAAAATGGCAAAGCCACTTTAAAGAAGGACATGAATGGATCACAATCATAGTTTTTAAATAACAATGGAAGTCAGGGGCACATGTTAAGTACAAGCTTGAGAGTGATCACATTAGTCTTTTAGCTGTATAACTGTAGGCCTGCCTCTTATTATTGACTCTTCAGAGACATGATGCAATCCTCCTCATGTCTGTCTCCAGCTTACACTCTTTCCACACTGTTTTCTTTGACCTACATGGCCCAATCCCAGATTCTGGTGTTTAATATGCGCTGTCTGTGCTGCTCTAAAAACATGAATTCAACTTCTCTTCGTTACCAGTTTTGCATAATCATGCAAATGTGATTCATCCACTTGACTAACTGCTCACTGAAAAATTAAGCGAATTATGTGTGTAGTGGCCTCAAATAAATAACTAAACTGGACATATAAATTACAGTGAAGATGATGTAATGTAACATGCACCCAAACAAACCCAAGACTTTATGTAAAACAAATAAGCAATTTTAAGATGATTTGCATCTTATTTAGATTTTAATGGAGCTGATATCTTATATGGAGCATTACCCTGCATCTTGTACCTCGGTTATGCAAAGTTTTACTAATAAAGAAATGATTATATTAAGAATACAATAATTACAATATTTTAATAATTTTGTTATTTCTGACATTTTAAATCTACATTGTTTGTCTGTTGTTTAAAAAATACATTTCACAATAAAGCACCAGTATATAAATTTGCATGCTTTAAATTAAATTGTCATCATTTTTAAAGTATACATAAGAAAAAGGCTCTGACATTTTCTGGTTTCATTATCAGTCAATGATGAAATAAAAGCCCCAAATATTTGCCAGAACAATATGATCACCAATTCATCATCAGTCAATTTATTAGATTATATTTTTGTATAATGATTAAATATAATTGTTCATTTACTTCACTCAAATGGCTCAAGTCAGTATATTTATTTAGTGGCCAAGTGTTTATGTTCACATTGAGGGCGGTGTGCATTACTTTAGAACTTTAAAATGGATATCTTCGAGTTTGATGACTTGATAAACAAACCCAAGACTTATTTGTTTTGCATAAAGCAATTTGAAGATACTAATTAATATTAATATTATCTTATATGGAGCCTTACCCTGCATCTTGTTGTACCTCAGTCAGCTCTCACAAAAGCAGTCAGTGTAAATACCTTGAACAAAACTTTTAATAAAGTTGAAAACCACTGAAAAATGTGAGGGAAAAAAACATGAACCTATAAAACACTGAATGCATTAGAAATTGTTATAATGTAACGTTACATAAACAGAAAAAGACGCGTGCAGCATTATATATGAATGAATGAATGAATGAATGAATGAATGAATAATATATGGTATTGATGTTTTTCCAGATTCTTTAGTTTTCTATCGACAACTATGAATTTGTTCTGTTCATACCGGTACATTAATTTCTTAGACGGCCAGATACATGATTTATTTACTTCTTAAGGCTATTATTAGATAGATTATTCTATGACTTCGAAAGCACCCTTATGTGTGGGGGTAGTTAGTGGGTGTGGGGTGTCCTCTCATATTACACACTTTCCCGCGAGAAAACCCTGAGTCGCGCCAAAACCCCACCTGTATAACTCACCTTTATTCTTGCCTGAGCTTGTCATTTAAAGCTTTCATGGGACGTTCGGCATTTATATAATGACAATTAATGATGTGTGACGATTAATTATGTCCCCGCTGAGTTACAGCTGAGCCTTGGAAACTTCAGGCGCGCCTGTTAAACGCAGCAGATCAATAAGAGCGCGCGCACTGCCCCGCCAACAAACCCCCACAGGCTTTGGTCAGAGCGACTCTCTGATTGGCTGCAGTGGTCGCTCTGAGGAATTTCCTCCTCGTTCAGCCAATCACCGTAGTTATTTTTACACGCCGCTTTCGTGATTGGCTGAGAGAAGGTGTAGCTCTTCAGAGCGCCAGAAAACAAGCTTTAGCGGGGGATTCATAGTCGCCTGACCAGCAGAACGACTGAATAAGAAGATTACTTGCTCAGATCTTCTGATTTAGAGAGAAAATTATGTTCAGATAAGGAGGAACAAGAAGGATCATCTTTGCGAAGGATTTATTTACGTTTTTAGGATTTTTTTTATCCCAAGAACGGAGTTTAAGGTAAGAATATAGAGTTAAAGATTATATCTGCCTTAAGTTACATGATATATAAATATTAATTAAATTAATTTCCTTAAACTCAAATCTGATTTTTACTGACAGACATTTCAGTATTCAAATAATAAGAAAAAGAGAGGATTTATATGGGAGGATTTATATATTATGCTGCTGATCTTCTACAGTATAATGTAAAACAAAATATACAATATTGTGACAATAATATAAATTATTTCTAACGTTTGACTAATGTTATTTCCTCTGAGAATCTGGTTTCGTTACCAGGCAACTGGTGAAGATATTTGCGCCAAAATCTTTCCACCATCATCAGATCAATCACTTTTTTTACTCCTATGTTTCTTATTTAATGCAGTAGTACTATATTAATATGTAATATAATATCACTTTTTTACTCATGTTTCTTATTTAATGTAGTGGTAGTATAATATGTAGTATAATATCACTTTTTTTACTCATATTTTCCTTATTTAATGCAGTAGTAGTATAACATGTAGCTAATACAATATATCCTTTTTACTCATATGTTCCCTATTTAATGCAGTATTAGTATTATATGTAATAAACTGATAATGTAATTTTACTTATTAGTAGAATTTGGACAAATCACTTTTGGCAACACTTAACTATCATTAATTAAAAAGTTAACAGACATCAAATTAATGCTTTACAGATTGTTGGTATTATATATTAATAATGTAATAAATTAATATGAACTTACCAGTGTTATTCATATATAGTAACATTCATATGAATAATTCAGTAATGAGCTGGTTCACTATTAGTCTAAATGTGCTGGCTATAACTGATTCAATTTTCTTTTTTAGATGGAGATGAAGTGTTTAACTTTAAAGGATTTGCGTAGTGTGAGGACACTAGTGAATAAGACAAGCTCAGATGATCCTGTCAGCTTGAATGACCATAAAGTAAGATGATCTGAATGTGTTTGAATTGTATGGTAATGCATCTACTTCCTCATGAGATGTTGAACTAATACCCTGATTTCAGGAGAACATCTGCACGGACAGAAGGAAAACGACCCCGCTGAAGTGTGAGTCTGTGACGGCAGCTGTGAGTGGACATAGAAGAGTTTCCAGCCCAGATATCATCCATATAACCCCTATTAAACACACTGAGAGGGCCCACCCGGACCCGTGGACCCCGACAGCCAACCTGAAAATGCTGATCAGTGCCGCCAGCCCAGATATCCGCGACAGAGAGATGAAGAAAACCCTCTTTAGACCCATTGAAAATGAAGAGAAAGCTGTAGAGGAGGAGGAGGATGAGGAAGAACTCGATGACTCGTGTCAGGTACGAAGAAGTCGTCGTCTAAATGATCAGTGTAATAGTTTGAAATGTACGTGTATTTACATTTATTCGTCTAGCAGACACGACTTACAAACAAAGAGGCGATTCATCTTAAATATGTTCAGAAGTTGTAGTTTAATCCACTGTAATCTCTCTTAATTTCAGTATGAAGCTTTAGACGATTCTGAGAGGAGACCCAGTCGCAAACAGAAGAGTTTGGGTCTTTTGTGTCAGAAATTTCTGGCCTTGTACCCAGATTACCCTGAAACCTCAGCGAGCATCAACATCTCTCTGGATGAGGTGGCCTATCGCTTGGGTAAGAGAAAATAACTCCTAAACCTAATCAAACCCCATCATTTCTGTATAAAACTATTTTTAAAGCATTTATAATCTTTGTTATTGTTAGTACCGGTAAATATATAATTCTTCATGTTAGTTCGCAGTGCATTAGCTAACGTTAAAGTAAAGTATTTGATCTTAGTCATTTCCAGGTATGGAAATATATTCAGACTATTGACCCTGTTCAGTTTTCTAAAATATAAAATTAGGAATTTCTAAAGATAAATTTATCGTACAAGCAGAGTGTTTTCATGGCTTAAGTTTAGTGATCCTTCAACATATATGAATAAATTCAAGGCGCACATTTTCAATACGCAAATCTCTTTGTCTTTTACCATAAGCGAGTCTCTTTTGAACTTCACTAATCGAATGTGTGTGTGCCACTCAAACCAGCAACAGATAAAGGAGCAAATGATCATCAAACTGTACTTTGCTGTTTGATGTTTATTCAACATCAAACCACGATTACAGTATCAAACACATGTGTCAGAGGGGAATGTACCGGTATGCAGGTTATAATTATAACGCGTTTTAGGTTTCTTCTCATCATGTAAGAAACCAATAAAAAAAAACAGAAAATACAAATATTTACAGATCACAGTACTATATACCAAATGCAATGCTGTTTGAACCATTAATCTTAAATATGGTCTGAAAAATCTACAGAGAGGTTTGAAATGGATTGTTCATCATGAACTAAATGTAAAGTGTCACCATAAAATGTAGTGACTGACACCGAGATCTAAACCGTCTCAGGTGTTGAGAGGCGACGTATCTACGACATCGTGAATGTGCTGGAGTCTCTGATGCTGGTGAGCCGAATGGCTAAGAACATGTACGTGTGGCACGGGCGCCCGAGGCTACCACAGACCCTGCAGGAACTCCATCGGGCGGGACGAGAGCAGGGCTACCATCTGCAGATGGACCCGAGAGAAGGAAGCAGCCCGTATGGCGCCCATCACATGCAAAACACACACGGTATGACACACACACACACACACATATTCCTCTAAAAGCATTTGGTTTGCATTATTTATAGAGTTGTTCCGATACTAGCATCGGAAATGCCGCCGATACCAATACAAATTCTGGGATCAGTATCGGCGAGTACTTCTACCCATGTACCGATACCCTTTTCATAACAGTAACTAGTTATGCACGCTAGCTTTGCTTAACGCTCCAAATCGGAGATCAATTCTTCTTCGCTGCTCTAAAGAGTGGTTGCTTGTGGTAACACAGGAAGTTGTGCTGTTGCCACAAGCAACCACTGTTTAGAGCAGCGAAGAAGAAAGCGCGCGCTAGCAGTATGTCCGCTGTTTGGCAGTATTTAAGACTGGACCAACCAGCCAGTAAAACGGCGACATGTCTCATATGCCATACTGCAATTTCGAGGGGTGGCACAAGATTAGCAGCTTCAACAACACTTGATAAAGCATTTGAAGACGCGTCACCCCGCAGAGAAGGATGAGCCGCGCCAGAATCAACAATCTCTGGAAGCTTCATTCAAACGAAGAGAAAAGTTTTCCAAAGACAGCCAACGAGCGATAAATATAACCGACAAAATGATCGAGTTTATTGTTCTGGATGACCAGCCGCTGTATTTAACAAAATTGTTTCTGGACTTTAAGTTATAAAGAGGTTATTTTCTTATATTATTCATATATCATTTTTTAGATTCCTAGATTTATTTGTTGCACTTTTTTTATACAGTTATATTGTAAATCTAAAATACCTTTTTCAGTTTACAGTATTAGACAGGGTTTTCGCGGAGTCATAAAAAGTCTTAAATTTAATAATAAGAATTTTAGGCCATAAAAAGTCATAAAAACGTCCGGATTTTCCATACAAGGTCATAAATTACATTTAGCCACGTCTTAAATTGATATGCTCATTCATTCATTATCGCGATATAATTTTTTCTCTATAAAACGATATCAAGAGTTCGATAAATGTTCGATAATGTTTATGCGCCAAAAGCGGAACGAAGCCTATATTGAATTGTATTATATTATTAATATAGACAATGTATTAAAGGACTAATGTAATATAATTACAGTATTTAATGTATTTAGGCTACTGTTTTTCATACATTTCATGAAGAAACGTGCTATCAAAGTCAGGCAACACAAACCTGTTTTAAGACTTGAAACAATATCCTCCATTAGCACATGCAGAAACTAAGAAATTCATTTTCCAATAAAGATATTAATTTTAAGGAAAAATGACAAATGTTTGAATGTTCTACCTCAGATTTGTGAAATGTTTACCTGTTTGGCAAGTGTTTGTCATGATATGTTCTGACAATAAAGAGTAGTTTAAAACCACAATTAACGCTCTGGTTTCTACAACTTTCAGTTAGGAGCAAAAATCTGCCTTTAAACTTAATGAAATAAAGATTTGACATTTATCGTGATAATTATCGATATTGACTGATATATTATCGTGATAATTGTTAAGTGTTGTTCCTGTGTTATTGATACTTAGGAAAAGGGAGCCTTCAGTTTGTAACTCTTAAGAAAATGGAACCTTTAAATAATGAAACTTATTACTTTTAATGAAAGTCAATAAGAAAAAAAAGACTTTTGAAAGGAAGTTATTTTTCGTAATTCGTGTAGGTCATACATTTAAATCATAATGGTCATAAAAAGGTCTTAAAAAGTCTTAAATTTGACTGACTAAACCCTGCAGAAACCCTGATTAGATGTGTGGCTGCATTTTAAGTTATTTTTCACTTAAGGAAAATAAATAATATATTGCTGTGAAATATATGTAAGATAATAAAAATACTCTAGGTCACTGTATGTATTTGTTCATGTTTTATTAAGGGATGAGTCTGAAGCACACCATAAAATAATTCTATCAGTTCATACAGTGCTAGTATGAATTGCAGCTGTATAGATACACACCCAGGTATCGGATCAGTACTCGGTATCGGCCGATACCCTGAGTCCAGGTATCGGTATTGGGAAGGAAAAACGGGTATTGGAACATCTCTAATTATTTATCAAGAGTATACACTCAAAAAAAGGTAACGTCTGACTAGTTGCATGATGCATACCTTCATTTGAATGATTCACCATATTGCACTTGCTCGGTTGACGTCATTCCCTATTTGTTTAAACCATAATGACGGTTGCCCCATTAACTCCATTATTAGTGTCTTACCCTTGTGCTCTATTAATCGGTCACCCGTTAACAGCGTCTCCGGCTTCACAACACTGGTTACCAGGTGTTTGTGTTGATCACAGGTAATCCCATCCCAGCACAGAGACTCTGTTATAAATGTGCCACGCTCTCACACACAGGCTGAGGAGGGAAGCTGATTATTCAGAGAGGAAGATGAAGTTTAGACATGTTTCTGTGTGCTTAACGCTCGGAGGGGTGACCTGATTAAATCACGTCACTGTTGACCTTTGCTTCAAGCAGCTACATTCAATTCAGTAATAAAATACTTCATATATAGTGGAACTAAAGCAGACATGGTTTTAGAATATATAGTAATATTTTTACGAATAATGAAAAAACTATTTTGTGCCCTAAACATTTTAATGATGAAGAAATTAATGTATTATAATTGTAAAAATAATTACAATTTATAAATATTTTGTTATTTCTGACTTTTTAAATCGACAGGGGTTGTCCAATGTTTAAAAAACAGGGGGGTTTGCGGGTCTTATAAAGTCTTAATTCACAAATGAAGGCCTTAAAAAGGCCGTAAGTTCATAAAGTCATGCAAATGTTGCATACATTGCAAAAAAAAAGGAATATCTTCCTCAGTATTTTTGTCCTGTCTTCCCATACAAATATCTAAACATCTTTAAATCAAGATACGTTGATTTAAAATGCAAATTTTAAAATTCTTGAAAATTTGAACAAAAAGTGAGTTTGCTTCACTGATCTATATAATGACGATCTATATAGATCAGTGGTTTGCTTAAAAAACAAGAACAAATATCTGTCAATGAGTAATAAAAACTTGCCTTTGAATTAAGTAGATTTTTCTAAGCCCATTGGCAGATATTTATTATTGTTTAAATCATAAACTGATTACATTTTAATCATTTTAACAGAAATCAAGATTTACACAAAAATGCATTTCTTACTTACGGTAGTATTTTTGACTTGTTTCCAGTCCAAATATCTAAAAATTCTTAAATCAATACGCATTTAATAAAGTAGTAAAATTACATAAGATATTAACTACTACAAATTAAGTGAGTTTTTGCTTAAAACAAGCTAAATGATCTGCCAATGGCGTAAGAAAAATAAACTTGTTTTTGTTTGAATTAATATTATTTTTCTTACCCCATTGGCAGATAATTTAGGCTTTTTTTTTTTTTTTTTTTAGCATCAACTCACTTAATTTGGATTAATTCCCCCGGAAAACAGGAATTAATATCTTATGTCATTTTACTCATCTAGTAAATGCTTCTTGATTTAAGAATTTTTAGATATTTGGACTGGAAACTAGACAGAAACACTGAGTAAGGAAAGCATTGTCAGTGTATTATTTAATGTAATTTTGAATCTCGAGTAAATGCATCTTAATTTAAGAATCTTTAGACCATTGCACTGTAAAAAAAAAAAAAAAAAAAAAACATTACCAAGTGTTTCATTTCACATTGAGGGCGGTGTGCATTACATTCAACTTTTAAATGGATATCTTTGAGTTTGATGACTTGATAAAGAAACGAATCTGTTTCACGTCCTGCTGTCCTCGTCTGGAACCTCTAATGTGGTTACTGTGTTTGCTGGCTTCTTTTCCCATGTGGCCGGCCGCTTGTCGCTAAGCAACTGCTTTGCTTCCTAACAAAAGCTTATTACGGTCCCGTCGTGAGGGCAGGAGTCACTCGAACAGCCAATTCACCAACCATTGATGCCATTCCTCATATCCACTATCTCTGGTTCTCTTCTGCCAGTCACATCACATTTATTAATTCATCCTCTATTCACGTCTGGCATCGTCCACAGTTGCTAAAACTGAAGAGCATCATTTCGCCAAATTCCTCTTGATATCGAGAACCATTTTCACTGTTTCTTAAGTTGCTGTGTGGTTCTCTGAAGGCCTTTATTTTAAAGAGTGGTGCTTCCATTCCTAAAACCACAACTTTCACATGTTTCACAGTGTTGTAAGCGTGCTTTATCTCTCTCATACAGCGGCTTCCAGCAGACGGAAGGATAAATCGCTTCGCATCATGAGCCAGAAGTTTGTCATGCTGTTCCTGGTGTCCAAAACACAGACCGTTACACTCGATACAGCTGCTAAGATCTTGATCGAGGAGGGTCAGGATGAGTCCAGCCACAGCAAGTATAAAAGTAAGACGTCAATCATTTTGAGCTCTCATATTTGGTATTTTTTATCGATTTAAGTGTAGCTCACAATCTCTATTTGCCATTTGTTTGTGTTTGTTCAGCTAAGGTACGACGCTTGTATGATATCGCTAATGTCCTGACCAGCCTGAATCTGATCAAGAAACTTCACGTGAGAGAAGAAAAGAGCCGTAAACCCGTCTTCAAATGGATCGGACCTGCCGATTTTCACAGCAGTGGTGCGTCCTGTTTAAACACTGGAAAAAAGTCTCTTCGGTATGAATATTTTGTGATTATATGTCTTTTATTTATTTAAGATTCAGATGATTTGAGGGTCTCAGAAGCTCAGATCAGTGCCTCCGTCACGGGCACCGGGGAACGACGGGAGAAAATGACACGTCACTCCTCCTTTCAGGTCATCCCAGCCCCTCCTGTCAATCAAAGACGGATAAGCTCCGCCCCCAGCACACCTCAGAGACATTCTACAGGTGAGAACTGAGCAGAACACTGGCATTTTACAAGCTTTTAGCAGACACTTTTATCCTTACGGGGAAAAGCATAAGCCAACAACAATATTTGTTATACAAACGTAATATACAACCATGATGTTAGTGTGCCACTTACATTTGATGCAACTGAAATGTAATGCGATGTTTTTCCTGGTTGTGTTATCAGACGAGCCGGTGGATTACTCCAGGAAGAGTGTGAACAGCACTGCAGTGTGTCAACTGCAGTTTGGAGACAGGTGAGTCCACCTGCACAGAATTTGTATTTGCAGAAATTACCACATATTTCAAACTTTAGTCACTGGGTAAAGATCTGAGCCTGGCACTGAAAGGGTGTATGTTCAAACCCTAGAGCTGATGCATGAACCATTGTGCCCAATGTTATTATTATATTATTTATATACTATTATAATATTTTTAATGAGATTTTTATTCATCGTTTGTGCTTTCGTCATGTTTTTTTTTATAAATGAAAAATGAATGGTTAAATAAAGTGTATAACAAACTTATTAAATACTTGTTAAAAATCATCTAATATGAAGTAATATTAATTTCAATTGGAAAAAAACACGATTTTTAATTTTAGTTAACAATACCAACACTGATCTGTAGCTTCTGTGTTGTGTATATTTGCAGTGTTCAGGCCAGTGGAAGCGCTGTAGGACCAGCAGTGCCTCTTCAGGCGGACGTCCCGTTTGCGTCACTGCCCTTTTCAGCCCAGTTCGCGCCTCACCAGTTAGCGTACCTGTCCGGTCTGCCGCAAACACCCGTGTTCATGGTGTACAGCGGACACGTCCCCGAGGGCATCAACCAGAGGTCGCCCGTCTCAGGCCACAGGGAGGGACATCCAAAGAAGAGAGAGAGACAGGAGGAAGAGGAGGATGATCAGGCAGCTAAACGAAGCAAACGCTCTGTGTCCATAGAAAGTGAAACGGTGAGTGTTATGAGCCTGATTAAAACTTACATACATGTATTCATCCACATCGACATGCATATGCATATTTTAGCGTATTAAAATGTTCTGTGGGTTATTTTTGCAAACAAAAAAAAGACAAACTAAAGCAAAAAATCAAATTAAAGCTTTGAAGTATTTAACAAAATAACAACATTTTAATATTAAAAAAACAAACATTTCTTTATTAAAATGTGCAATTTTTGTTAAATACTTTAATTTAGTAATACCTTATTTTTGGGAAAGCAATGTAGCTCAGGTTCTAAAAAAAGCTGAACAAAAATAAAATAAAAACTGGACAAAAAACAAGAACAATTAAAGAAAATAATAATAAAAACATTAATACAATAAAATAATACATTATGTAACATTTTAATAATTAGGCTGTTTGCAATAAAATTAACATCAGCTCATATTTTATCTGATTATACATGCATCTACACACAGGTACGGATTTTACCATGGTGAAATCACTGTAATGCACAGCCTTGAGTGGCTTATTTCATTTATAAACTCGTGGCAACAGCACTATTATAATTCTGAAAGCTGTACTTTGATCACATGTGTGAATGTCTCGTAGGGCGAGACTGAGAGTTCGCGCTCTAGTGCCAGAAGGTCTCCGATCTGCTCTCGGGAAGGTTCCCCGTGGGACGAGGCCTCGTTTGGGCCAATGAATGAGGAAGATGCCGGAACATCCAGTCCCAAAGATGCCCTCATGTCCTCTCATTACCTCTATGTCCCAAACACAGCAGGTACATGAAAACCCGAGTGTCTGCAACCACCAGTCAATGTCAAACTCTCAGATTGCACGCTCGTTCTAACGTTTCATTTGACTGTTTCCTGTAGGTCTGAACGGTTTGAACTTCCTCATGCCAGCAGGACATACACAAGGAGGTGTGCCAGCTGTAGCTATGCCATATTTTTTGGTGCCTTCACCGCTCATAACAGGTGCGATGCCCGCTTCCAGTGCTGAGGGGGTTGCCAGCAGTGGTTTGAGTTTCAGCATGCCCACCATGTTGTCACCAGCCCAGTTTGTGATGGCAGGAGGGGCATTTAATGTGGCTGAAAAGCTGAACACCCCTGAGCATCATGGGCACCGAATACCAGTGGCCACATTCTCACCGCAGGGACCACGAGTACAAGAGAGCCCTCAGCCAGCACAAACACAGGTCAGTGTACTGCATACAGTTGTAGTGACGCACCCAAAATGTATATTCGGTTTCAGCCGAAACAGGAAAGCTTGAAATCCTTGAGCTAAATGGTGAAGTTTGATTAGCGCTTCTCCAATGGCATGTTTACACGGTCAAGCGTCATGCATAAACTGCACTAGAAGATCTGACATACACAAACCAGTCAGGTCACAAATGTCTGTAGTGGTTTTATTTGGATGAACTGAGATCTTTTAGGTCATGCTGTATTCAGAAACACTAAACATTATCCTAACACTAAACGCTTTGTGCGTTGTTACTTTTCATATGAAACAAAGTCTAAGCTTTCAACTTCAGTCAATTTGATCACGAAATTCAAACGTTTGACGCTCTTTAATATGGCGTGACAGATCGCTTCGAGCGGCACGTGAACCGATCATCTCCTCTTTATGGCTAACTAGAGCACGAAATAAACTTGAATGAACAGCTTATAAGCAATGTCACAATGCCATTACATTTACCTCTGGAAAGCCATTAGCATTAGCCATAGCTTGTTAGTTAGCTTTAAAAAATAACTCTAAAGAGTAGCATTTTAATTTTAATACATGCACTGTATTACATATTAATTATATTTTTTACTTAACCTGTTGTCTTAATATATAATGTATGTTTCAACAACGAAACAATTATAGCATTAAAAAGGTGATATTAATACTGGCTTACGTGTATTTTAAATGTTTATATTAGTGCTGTCAAACGATTAAAATATTTAATCGTGATTAATCGCATTCATGTCATAGTTAACTCGCGATTAATCGCACATTTTTATCTTTTCTAAATGTCTCTTGATTTCTTTTTGTCCCATTATTTTTTCTCATTTTAATGCTCTTATCAACATGGAAAAGTGGATCGGCTTGCTTTGTGCAAGTGTTTTTTATTGAAAACAACATTGGCATATACTGTGTTCAATTTCACACTAACATTCTCACTTGGAGCAAATAATCTCTCACACAATGTAACACTGTCCATCAATAAAAGAGTGTAAGAAATACGGACGAGCTCCTGATATTGACGAGGGGGCGGAGAATTCGCATCAGCTGTGTGTGTGTGTGTGTGTGTGTGTGTGCGCGCGTGTGTGCGTGCGTGTGTGTGTGTGTGTGTGTGTGTGTGTGTGCGTGCTTGGCCATCAAGTGGTATTTCAGACTGGACGTGCTGCGATGATGATAGCTCAGTTCACAACGACAAAACACACAGATCACTTTGGTCTTGTCAATGGAACCATTTGGCAACTTTTTAAAAGTAAACTTTCCATTCAGAATCTTATTGGCATCCATTTCGGCGTCTCGCGCTCGTCATCCACTCAAAACGTAACGTTAACCTACTATTTGGCCGGCTCGCAAGCCCAAACGAGTGTGTGCGGCGTGCCTGTTGTTTTGTTTCCGGTCTAGCTAGATCCGCTTGCGCTTTAATCGACGAAGCAACAAAACGTCCTCGCGCGGCGCAAGCCATTGAAATGAATGGGTTTCATAGCGCAGCGCTGCGTCCTGTTGCTAAAGCATGTGAAAAAAAACTACAAAGTTTGCTAGGCCAAAAAGGCCGTTAATCGCGCGATAAAAAAATTAACGCCGTTAAAATGGGTTTGCGTTAACGCCGTTAATAACGCGTTTAACTGACAGCCCTAGTTTATACAACTCAGTTTTTGAGTGTTGATGATTACATAAATGTGATTGGTTATTAAATAAACTAAATGAAAACTTTAACTTTAGTTTGGGTTAAAAAAAAAAAAAAAAAAGATCTTTCCTTTTAAAAAACATCAATACTGTTATAGTATGAAAGTGCCAAGTATTTCAAACAATACATTTTCTATAGTGTTTGTGAGCTTCTTCCCTCTGCTGTTTCAGACTCCTGTGACACCAAAGGAAGCAGCGCTGGGGTCCAAATCTTTCTTTGAGACACCTGGAGCTTTTGGGTCTCTCACCGGCCAACCAGCGGCACGCAAACGAGGCTCCGCCCAGAGGAGGCTGGACATCGGACACACCGCAGCCAATTAAACTAGCCGCTGCATTTGTGTCATTGGTTTTCAGGCTTCTGTGGTGCTACAGTGCCAAAGACAGAAACATTTTTTTTTTACTTGAATTATTTCTCGTATATGACCATTGTATAATGTTTACTAACATCAGTAAAAGAGGGCAGATTATTACAGATGCTAAAGTCCCACTCAGGGTCTATAGTGTGATTCGGTTACACACCCTTTTGTGGCTCGATTTGTTTTTCCCCCACACCATTTCTGATAGTATTTTGGAGTTTATTTGATATCCTACCAGTGTATTGCCTGATTTTGTTTACCATTATTATTTATTATAGCATTTCCAGAGGCTAAAATCATCAATCCAGTTTTAAGCACTACGTATTTAAAAATGTGAAAATGAATTAAGTCTGGATCGGCTTCTGAGAGAAAACCACACATTTGCTCAATTTAGTCGTTTGCATTTTGCTGATTGTAAAAAGTGCCATATTGGTGAAGCCGACATGCCTTAGAAATGTGTTTGTTACATAATGCCTTCACCACTAAGAATGAATACATAGAAAAGTGTATTTGGGGATAAAGAACAAAATAGTGGTTGAAATTTTCTGCTTAAGTTTGAGGTGCTATGTCTGAAATGAAAAGGAAACAAATACATACTTGAATAACCAGTGAGTATGATCTGCGATCACTGGAACAAAGCAGAATTATCACAGTACTGTACTGTTTAAAACAAAGTATGTTAATGAATGAATTGTTCTTAGACTAGTAATAAATTATTTTTGGAAGCGTACAGGAGTTACATTTGGATTGAGCTTTACACCACTGCGTGTAATTCGTACAGTATTTACAGTCACTACTGTAACTCATAGCATTGCATAATTTTGTAAACATGTTAATTTGTGTCTGAATGTGTTTAGAGCTGCACTGATGAATCTGTATGGTGCTTTTGTGTTTGTCAGATGTATTTTTTAATCATTTTATGTATGGACACAGGTGTCGTACATGTAATACAAAATAAATATATGTAAAATGAAATTGTTGGTTGGTAAATTCGGTTGATTTCAAATGGGAAGCTGCACAGCCTTAAGCGACCACAAGATGGCAGCATAGACAAAGACTGATGAATATGAATAACCCATGATTTCCCATGAAACATCTCGGATACAAAGGCCAAAATCTTTCTTAATTGTCCTCTGAGATTATGATATTAAAACACAATCACAATGTTTATTAATGCATCTATTTGGATGCAATTCATTGAATTGCTAATTAAAAAGGTTGAAAGTCAATGGGGTCCATCAACTGTTTGTTACTTATTTGTAAAGAAACTGGCAGACAATACCGCTTTATTTTGGGTCTAATTTCCCAAAATAAACCGGTATGGTCTGCCAGTTTCTTTACAAATAAGTCCTAAATTTGAAGGTACACTATGTAACAAACAATTGATGGACCCCATTGACTTTCATAGTATGGAGGGAGAAAAATACCCATATTCTTCAAAATATCTTTTGTGTTCAGCAGCAGAAAGGAACAACATAAGGGTTTGTGAATGATGACAGAATTTTCATTTTTGGGTGAACTATCCATTTAAGTTTAACAGCTAAGCTTAAGAGTATTTAAACCGGTAAGTGCGAGCATTAGTAGTGATATGCGTGTGGTCTGTATGATAGTTTTTTTTATTATTATCTAGTGTAGACCAACACAGTAACGTTACTCCGCCTGGCAACATGTCAATGTTCATTAATGCTGTTTACACACATTACACCTGGAAACCCATTTTATCATCACAATAAACCCTGTATGAACAGCAATAACTTGCATTTCATCATTTACAGGCCTGTAAACCTCAGCAACACGGTCGAGTTCACGTCTAAAACACAAAAATGACACAAAATCAATCAAGGTTTGTGAATAAATGTGGAGAATATTGAAGAATGTCAAATCTGAGTAAACAAACTCAAATAGCCTTAAGGTTCTTTAATGGTTCCGTTTAGAACTTTAAACATCCATGGAATCTTTCTTTATAATGTTATTCACACTCAGAAAAACAAATGGTTCTGTTCGCTAAAAAGGGTTTTCTTCTACTGTGGCATCTCTGAAAAAACAAACCTTTTCACATCCGCCTGAATGAGTGTGAAGGACACTGCATTCCTCCACAGGCTCCTCATGTTACACACTGGGTAAAGCCGGCTCACGTCAGACACAGACACATGCATGAAACCTAAATAAGCAAATCTTATGTGTAATTTCTCACACGCGTGCCATCCCTCAGCCAGAGTCCAGTTTTACCATAAAAGGAGGAAGGACAGAGTGCTACATCTGTTTTTCATTCCCTCTTTCTTTCCAATATTGTGCCGTTCACTATAAATTCCTTCTAAAGAAAGTTTGGTGTAATGTGCATTCCAGCTGAAGGCCTGGATGAAGAAACTGGAAGAACTGACAGCCTACTTCTACTGTGCTGTCTTATTTCACATAAAACATTTTTTAAATATCAAATTATGCAATATGCACAGTGCTTTTGTTCAAGTCTATTTTATTGTTTGAACCTAAAAAACTTATTTTTCACAAAAGTTCTGCTTGAAAAGCATTTCAATTAAAAGACGCTTGACTTCATATTTTATGTTTATTCTGTGTCATTTAGGTTTTTAAAAATGTAGGCTACAAATACATTTTTGGGTCATTGTTGGTCAAAGATGAGTACCAGTAGCCTACATTTTATTGACGTCCGCTTGCAGAAATGTTTTACTAATGTTCCCGTTAAGTTATAAAACGTTAGATCAAAATGTTCTCAGAACATTTAAAATGTTTAGTTTTTTAAATGTTTTTTTAGTTTTTAGTTTTTTTATCTTGGTTATGTGAACGTTAGCAAAAATATTAAAGGGGTGGTATAACGCCCTTTTCGCAAGATGTAAAAATGTCCCCAGAGTGTGTATGTGAAGTTTTAGCTCAAAATACCCCACAGATATTTTTATATAGCATGTTAAAATTTTCACTTTTTGATGGTGAGCAAAAACCATAGACTGTACAAAAGACAAATACGCACTGTTTTTGTGTCTGTCCCTTTAAATGCAAATGAGCTGCTGCTCCCAGCACAGGGGGCGGAGCTACAACAGTTTGTGTCCATGTACCTCACACAGACATGCACTGAAAATGTCAATGTTTATGTTCAAACCGGAGTCAAACAATAATTTCTGAATGGTTAGTTGATGAATTTATGTAGTTTATGTGTAGTATCTTCAAGTCATTGCTTAGCATATTCTGCCATGATAATCTGTAAATCGCGTTACCGGGGGAGGGGTTTATGTAAATTTTAGGGTTAGTGATGTCATTCACCCGGGAGGAATGTTGTGTAGTCCCTACCAGCCGTTTGTTGTAGTCCTTAAAAAGCTATTTCTTTAAAAGCAAATATCTTCGTTTGCTTTGAACTTTGAGCATTGTAACTTTGCAGATGTTGTTTATGCTTAAACAGCAACATTACACACTAACTAAATAAAAAAAGAGAAATCGTAATCAACCACCCCTTTAAGGGCATGTTTTTTTCTCATTTTGCAAGTAATTTTACTTTTGAATGTTGTTGAAACCATCTGGAAATAAGTAAGAAATAACATTTGTAAAACATTATAATGTCCATTGTCCAACTAACACGTTTTAGAAAAATATTCAATGAATGATTTATAAATAACATTTTTGTGCTAATGTTTTGATAATCTTATAACCTTGATCAGCTTGAACCTAATGTTACTGGAAGAACGTTTGTTCATAACTTTGAGAGAACGTTCCCTGTTAACTGGGTTGATACTGACAAGTGATGCATGCTGGGTAATTTACAGGAGTCTTTATTGAGTCATTCATCACGCTGCTCTCCCACACACTCATCTACACCACACCTCACACACTGCAGAATGAAATTCTTCTTAATTAGTATAATTAATGATGCCTGTCTGTGTGTTATGGTGGAACCATCAACATTAATCATTTCAAATGTGCATGGGTGCAATAGTTTGTTCTGGCCCGTTTCATACTTTCTTTCCAAAAGACAAGAGATAGGCTATGTATGAGTAATAATAGTAATCCATTTATTCATATAACCCAACACAACTGTTTTGAGCTCATACGCATTTCAGAAACAAACAGATACATGGCATGTTAATAGTTTAAGAAGGCCAGAAAAATCATCTTAGAAGTTTTTTCTCCCTTAAAAGAATGATTAATTTTCACTGTATGATAATAATTCATAGTTCACTGACATTATGATCTATAGTGTTGATGAGAAGCACTCATGCCAACATGATGTTTACTAACAGAACATGTTCCTGGGGCCTGTTTCAGAAAGGAGGTTAAGTGAAAACTCTGAGTAAGTTAACCCTGAAATGAGGGAAACTCTGGGTTTTCTGTTTCAGAATGGGAGGTATGTCAAACCTGAGAAAGCAGGGTAAGTCAAGCCCGTTTCTGAAAGAGAGGTAACTTATACTCAGAGTCAGTTACGATGGTAACTTACTCTGTGAACCTAACCTGGTCGGGAACAGGTTTACTACCGTAAACCCAGAGGTTTCCCATCTCACTCAGGGTTCAAGTTTTAACTCAGAGTTGGTTGAACCTCCTTATTGAAACGGGCCCCTGGTCTCCATCCCTTAATAAAATAGCTTCGTCTATTTAAAATGGCAAACATTACAGTAAAGATCATTAATATTCTTCAGGTATGTCTGATAACACATTACAGGCAGTATCAATCGAGTTTGGTTTCCAACATTCTTCAAAATACCTTCTTTGTGTTCAACAGAACAAAGAAACTTAAGCAGGGTTGGAACAACATGAGGGTGAGTAAATTATGACAAAATTTATAATTTTTGGGTTAATGCCTTAGATAAACGGACCTTCAACAGTTAAGCATCTCAGTCGGACTTTATCTTGGTTTTATATTCTTCTTAATGTGTAAATAAATAAACAACTGAAGATTTTAATCTAGAAAAAGAATGTGTTTGCAAAAGTTTAGCTGTTCAAACATTAGTTTATTAAGTAAACCGCTACTGTGACAGACAGCATAAAGTGTGCGAAGTGCGAAATGCAGTGTTTGCCAACTTTTTTCA